TAAATTTCTTTACCAAAACAAACATTAAAATTCTGTATAGGTGCATAGTTCAAACTGTGTGAGCTTTAAAGTTTACAGAATTGTTTGGTTTTTGTTGTATTAATAGAAATAAATGGAAGACGCAACACAAAAGTACAGTAAAGTAAAGAGTGCATACCCTATGGCGACATGTATAATAATCAATGTCTGATATAAAAAGAAATTAGTTCTCGTTGTAATACACGTCTTTGTAACATCAAGTATTTGCAGTTTTTCAATGAAGTTGATATTTCCTTCACATTTCATTAAATATTACAACTATCTTTAGCCATTCACTAACACCACCATACACAACTGTCCTAATTGTTTTCGATTTAAACCCGATGTCGAGATTCGCCATTGTAATAAAAATTAAATGACTTACTTACTAAGTACACTTTACTAACTTTTTAAAATTAGCTATAATTTTCAGATGTGGTAAAAGTTTAAACATAAATTCTTTGTTTCGTTATACTAATCGTTCAGTCAAGTAATGTGCATATTACATATTTTATATAAATCATAGAATTTTATCTAAAAGTGTTACCTTGTGATTTTATTTTTCTTATTATAAAATTGTTATGATATAAAAACTGCCCATCGTTATTCTGTACCATCGTTACTTATGATACTTTTAAAAGTATCTTCTCCTCACAAATAAAAGAAGGCTTCGGCCCCGGGCGGTATTGTCCGAACCCTAATAACTTTTAAATGTTGCTAGCAAAAATCTCCGAAAATCTGATAACTAGCAGCTACTGAATACGTTTGATTAAGATATTACGAACAATGTAGCATTGTAAGTTTTTAAAATAGAGATAATCTACACACGCATATGCCAAGTGTACAGATAAGTACAAAATTCATTTTATTGGTTTAGTATTTTTTTTATAATATACCTACAATAGGGTTTTAGAAGATATTTTCCAATTTAATATTTTTAAGATATTTCGAAAATGAGTAGGAGGAGCATTTTTGCGTTTGCCATTGAATTTTGTATTATTTAATCATAATACTGAAATACAAAATATATACCAACGTACTTTAAGTATCACCGAACATCTTTTTAGAAAGTGATTTCTTTTATTCTTATAAATTTTCTTTTCGAAACTTGTTATATATAACTGCAAATCAAAAATAAGTTTTTTGTTCAAATAAATTAAACCATTTGACGTTTGTAACTTTATCAAAAAACCTCAATAAAGCCATTTTCAGAGCACTATCAAATGACATCTATAATTTATTAATACAATGAATTACAATCGCGAATCCCGACCGAGCTGCGCACGATTACATCTCATTGGTGAGGGGCTCGGCGGCGCTGCCGGAGACGTGGGGGCCTGGCGTTGCGTCTAGACTGCCGTAGGTGTGGCCGCGTCCTGACACTCGCCAGCGTCCCCGAGGCCTGGTTATGCCTGGTGAATAATTTCCATTAGACAGTACTGGGTGATAGGAAAGTATCAAATCTTCTGTTTTTATACGGCAGAGGACCACGCTTTCACGGAATGCCAGCGTAAAATAGCAGCCCAATGCTGATGTGTTTCGAATGAGTGTAGAGAACCGGAAACCCTTTTCACTGGAAGCGAGGTATTCCATCTTAATCCTCAGGGGTGATAACACATTTTGATTGTTAATCGATCGAATCGACCACTTACAATCAGGTGGACTGCGTGCCCGTTTGCCACCCTTATACCATAAAACTAAACCCTTACTTGAAACGGTGCGGATAGTGTGAAAAAAGCGATCACCACATCTTCCTGAACATCCTCGCAAAAGAAACTAAATAATCAATCAATAGGCAATCCAGTTGTGCCAAAATGTTCCAACCTGCAAACAGCGTCAAAATATTTAAATGATATGGATTATTTTCAATGACAAATCCTTGCTGCACTTAGAAGCTAAAGTGAAATGATTTTAAAAGAGAAACTGGTCCGAAATATAATAACTGCAAGATTGTTTTTTCAGTTAAAAAGAAGGTTTAAACAAACATGTTCCAATTTTGGCTACATGTGGTACGTTGGAACATTTATGCATTTAGTCTGTTGGGCGAGAGTTAATAAAAAAACAGGGCTCGTAATTACCTTACAAGTTGCGAGTTGCGACTCGCTATTGCGAGACGTTTTCATAATATTTATCAGCTCTCAAAATTGCTTTGTACCATGGAGGTTAGAGAAAAGGAGAACGATCGCCGTAGAAAATAGTGACTCAAAAATATGGACACCGTAAGTGAGGCGCTGCGATCGCTAAGTTCGGTTAATAAAAGTCATTTTCAGTTTATTTTTCCAATCGGATGCTAAACCACTTGCACATCCACGCACAATAAAATATTTCTCCATTTTTTAATGTTTCTTTCTGTCATAAATTACAAAATTACGGAGCATGAAAATTTTCGCACCAATGCCGCGGAGAAAATTTGTACATTATTCAACTAACTTCATCTACTTGTACCCATAAACAGCTAACTTCGCAGTCACTACTCACCGACGTCAGCGCCGCTATAAATTCTACAATTTTCAAGGACAGGCCGGTTATGCTTTAGTACGTAGTGATCGTTCTCTTGTTCTCTAACCTCCATGCTTTGTACAGTCTTACTCACCTCTTTAAAAATATTTTTTACCTAAAATTAAGCTCTACTAAAAAGAAGAAAGAACATATATAGAAATAATACTTATTTCTTGCGCTGTTTATTTATTTAAACAAGTCCTATGGTTAAAACAGAAAAAAAAACGTGTGCAGTTTACACGTGGGATAAGTGAAACCTTCAATAAATTACGAGTAAAATTGCTTTGTTGTAGCGCCATCTACTTCATTATATAGGTAAAGTAATTTTATTGAAAAATTGATTGATTTTCAAGGTGGTAGACAGTAGTGGACTTAGACACTAGATGGCCTATACACAATTAATTTAATATACATCGGTAAGTTACGAAATCGTGGATAGGTATGAATAGATTGGCTACGATAACTTTATACAATAATATGATCAGTATTATTTATTTAAAAAATTTATATTAAGCATCTTTAAAGCACCGCACAAAGAGGAGACCAAGATAACAAGAAACACTGTATTCTATCTCATTCTTTCGCAGGCTTAAGTCTATAGATGTATCTTTGTCTCTTTTTAGTATCACCTTTTCCTTTTCAGTTTTTCCTTTATCGAGTTTCAAATCAGAACAATTCTACAGTTTTTACTTCAAAAAACCAGTATTTCACTTTGACAATTAAGACGAATCTAATCAGGTAAGACATATACGTACATATTGGCACTCCAGAAACATTACCCCTCTTCTGGGGTAGTCGGTTAAAAAAACGTTAGAATTCAAAAGCAGTATATGTGGTTATTGGTGTCATGTTCAAATATTATGATCACCATTTTATTGTTGGGCAAAGATGTCGGTCGGGACCGGTATTTGCTGAAACATTCTGGATGTTTCGGTGGAAAAGGCCTATTTAAGGCCATTAGAGGCCGCGACCGGGGCAGTATCGAATTGGTTATACAAGCGAAGCTTCGGAGCGAAATAAAATGAACTAAAGTGATCAGTGTGATTAACTATTAGTGTCGTCAATTGGTGTTCGGTAATTAAAGTGTTAATTTTGGTAATTCAATCGGCAGTTTTTATTGTCACGAACCCTAAGCTCGTAACAGTACGGGTGATTTCTGGATCTTGACTACAGCACCACTTACCGGGTTCAAATGTAAATATAAACCATCTACCTCCATCTAGAAACCCATTCAGACACAAAAATTTTATCAAAATCGGTCGAGCCGTTTTTGAGTTTTAGTAAGACTGTACGGACAGCATTTAATTTTTATAAATAGAGATTACAATTTATTTTTATTTTGGGTTTCGTGAGTGCAACAAAGAATTTTTCGTCTAACTAACTACCCATCTACGTTGTTTAAAGTGTTTATACCTCTACAAAGATGTGTTATAATTACAAGTTTATAATACGTGGTTTTCTTTATAAATTTATTACTTTTGTTTCACCCATCCAGTTATTTTCGAGTATAAATTACTACGTGCACGTAAAGAATATAACAATAGCAGTGTATTTATTTATTCAAAAAAAGTGAATCAAGATAATAAACCGTGCGCGTAACTGTTTTTGTAAATCTCTAAAGCGTTATAATAAAATGATTTCTCTTTGCTTATGCTATCTAATATACTATTATTTTAAAATAAATATTTTTCTTACGTTGTTTTGACTTGCACATAGACGCTCCTTTTGGAACAAAGAAAAGAAGGATAGAATAATTTAGTTTTTTTTTAAATGCCAAATTTTCATGTTTTTTGTACATTGGACCTTTACTATATTTACGAAACAATTAAAAAACACCCTTGAATGTTGACAAAGGTGGCCTCACAATAATTCTTATAGTAATTATGTACAAATAATCGCAAATCGTACATTAATCAATTAAAAATCTCACAAATTGTTTTAAAAATATTTTCTTTTGTAAGGCGACCTCCTTTATGTCATTGAAGAGCGGTAAATCTAATATGGCGGCAGATGTCATGCAAAATTAAACATAAAACGAGTAACATAGAAAAGTGTCTCCAGACCATGCAGGTGCTCTAAAACTAAAAATAAAACAAAAGGAAATAATCAAAAAAACATTATTTTTATTTCTATTACCACATGAAAGCTGAATGTTATTACAATATTAACCATAAACTTTGGACAATGTTAAGACCCCTCTAAGAATAAGTACTAATCTTAAGTAGGAGATTCCTGGGTTTACACAATAATTGTTTTAACAAATTCATTTTAATCGTTATAAAAATACATTTCGCTAGTATCACGATAGTATATTTTATATATTTTTAGGAACATAGAGGGCACCTACTTACACTGAAATCTCTTTAAGTAATATAATATAATCACAAATGAAAATAAAAGCTAAAATATAATTACACACAGTGAAACCAACACGTAGAAATATTGCTAGAATAAATATTATTTGTTCTTAATTCCCCTGGCCATTACAGGCGTACCTGTAAGAATTACATGTCCATAGTAATTTAAAAAGTAAGTCAGTAAAAATACAATTGCCAACACCGCTTAAATGGGTTTAGTCACCGACAGCAATGACCTGTATACACAGCCCATTATTATTATTGCGTTAGTTAGGTACCAAATGAGAAAAATAATAATACTGTGTGCATCTGTTAATATAAAAAAATTCCGCTTAGAGTAACCCAACTACAACCAGAGACGTGCTTAACGATTTAAAATTTAATACGGTCTGAAAAATATTGGATGATAATACTGAAATGATTATTCGATAATTAGGTTATTCATCGATTATTTTGTAAAGCTATCTTAATATAAATAGAAAATAATATAAAAAAATGTTTAATATTCCATCAAGAACTGCATTAAGCAGTCTTTGTTTGCACTTTTTACATCGAGCAGTATTAATAGAGCAAGATAATAAATAATATTAAAAGGCACAGCAATTTAACATGTTTTTAATCGCAAAAAAATATAAAAAAAATAATAAAATCCGTATTTCTCACACGATGTGTGCCATTGTGTAGAATTAACAAAAAAAAAGCTTTTTCATATTTAAACGAAAAATCGCTGTTAATAATGTAATACAAAAAATATTTCCAATAAAATATTAATGAATTGTTTTTTTATGTTAAACGATTTAGATTGATATCTCTTATATTTAAAATAAAATAAAAAAAAATATAATTATAGAATAATTAGACATTTATGGGCTTAAACCAATATTTTACAAACATACGCAGATAATAAATACAATTTATTGGCAATAAATATCTCTCTAGTTTTAGCACGCGTTTTCAAATTGCATAATCGAAATTCTAACGTCGACAAATAAATTTGTATTCCAAAAATAATTTAATATACAAAAGAAGATTAATTAAATATAACTTTCATAAATTCCCTTATAAATCACGTCTACATACGTCTGTGCGCACTCACATCAATGAACATTATAATAGAACTGTGAAACTGAAGCTTAATGTAAAATTGGCCTTAATTAAAAAAGTAATAAAAAATAAGTAGGGTACATAGCTGCTACCACCATGTTGTTGCAACTAAAAATGTTTTAAGTACTTAAAATTAAGTACTGATGCGGACACGAATCAAATTCAATTAATGTGCAATAAAACAAGGCAGTGTGACATCTTAAGCCAACACGATATATAGATAGAAACTAAATTCGAAAAAAAATAGGAATGGCTTTATTCAACACAGCTAAACATAGACATGCAAATCGAAGAAAGAGAAGAGACGATAAAAGAAAACATTCGTATATTTCTCTAATGGCCGACACACACGGTCAGTTAAACTGATCAGTTCAACTAATCAGTTCAAGCGGATGTAAGCCAAAACGATTTCCCCATTCATTGGCTTCAAATTTCAACATAAGATTTCACTCTCACAGTTAGTATTTGGATGTAAGTCAGTTTAACTGATCAGTTTAATTGACCGTGTATGTCGAGCATAAAGCAGGGTATCCCTTCAACCAAACAGTGGTAAGAACCATACCCTTTAAGTGTTTAGAAACTCGTTACATATGCTTTACAATACATTACGAATTTCTATGGTAATTAACATTGAAATAAATGCGTTAACAATTTTACTGGGATGAAGACCGTATTCCTGTTATATTTTTGTAGTGTCCAAGGTGCTTTACACAGATCTGCCTTTCATGATGTAAAGTACCTTTGAACGCTACAAAGAAAGAATTTTCCTAGAAGTCAACTCTACTTTATTGTTCTTCAAAAACCGACTATCCCAAAAACCATAACCGGTTCGTTAGTAATCGATACGAGAGTAGACAATGCACATCACTGAGCTCCATCCAGGTTGTGAAATTATTCATAAAAATTATTACGGACAAACTATAATAAAAGCTTGTTTTTATAAAAAAGCTTATTTTATTACTTCGTGATAACCACTTTAAAATAGGGTTGACCCGCTCGCCTGTGGCATGAGGAAATCTTCGGAGGAGGCCTCAGGGAGGTTCAGCAGTGAACTTTTATAGGCTGTAATGGATGGATGATTAATTTTATTAATTTCCTCCACCGATACTGTCGTAAAACAGCAGGGTATAGAGAGCTGGCATAATTACAGGCCGTGTGGAATTCTATCTTACTCCCCAGAGTTGACAACGCATCTGTAGCCTTCTTCGTGCTTATAATAGCTTACCAACAGGTGAACTATAAGTTTTTGAAAAAATTGCATAGAAAAAGAATGTTAACATAATGTTAAAAAGTTGTTTTGTTTAATCAAGTAATAAAGGAGTCTAAATAATAATATATATCATGACTAACGCACGATTTATTTTACATGCCTTTGATCTAGGCTCTAAGCGTAATGGGAAACCAATTCATAAGATAATAAATTTTATTATGTTATAAATATTATTCCAAAACGAAATAAATGAAATTTCGAAAATTGATTGATGAAAATTTCAAATATGTAAAGATATAAAATCATATGTCAACAGTATAAATAAAAGCTTTACAAAAGTTTTATTTGGTCATTTCCAATGTTTTGTTCACAAACCTGGATGGAATTAATAGGGCAGAGCAATTGAAATAAATTCCAAATCTATACATGACAGCAACAAAGTCCAATCTCGCTCGTAGCAAGCTCACGCCAAAAGCGTGTCAAAATTATATTGCCTATATGGTTGTCCCTCTCTTACTCGTGTTAACGACGTCTCCGCAACGCCAATCTCTTTTCCGCGCAGCATGTGATTGGCCAGCTTTTGTTTGTTGATGGGCGAACCTGGAAGAGGAATCAAGTTACCTGCCTCACCAGTCAATAAATTTTAGATACATAATTGTTTCAAAATACGTTTTAAATTAAAATAAGTTAAAACAGTGAATTCCAAACATAGACGTAGACGGTTACGTTTATTAAATAGGCAATTAAAATATTTTTTTAATTCATGCAACTTTTGCGGTAACATTAAACTATTAATGACCGTAACACAAAAATGTTTGAAAGCCACAAAAATAAGGTAATTAATAAAATCAGGCGTTACTTTGCGGAAATAGATTATATCAAATATGTTGCAAAATTAATTCAAAAATGAAAAAAATAATGATGTACGGGTAGTCACCGCTACAGCGACTCCACGGTAGCTGATTGCTCTAGTGGACAATGTAAAGCCTATTTCACCTGAGGATGCCTCGTTTAAAGGCGAAACACGTGTCGTATCATGCACGGTGGTGTGTCTTTTCTAATGTAGTGGTGTTGGGAGAAGTGGTGCTGGAATTAGTGATGATGTGGATGTGCACATAATTGAGAGGGAACGCGGATCTTAGCTAATTAATTTTTAACGTGTTTAATTATTAAGTCCACATGTTATTGTATGATAATGCTAGTAGACTTGAAATTATTTTTTTTTGGTCTATCAAGTGGTTTTTATTTAAAGTTATTTAAGTTATTAGTTGTTTTACTCAGTCTAAATAGCTACGTTAAAAACTATATCCTCTAATTATTAACCCACACTCAAATTTATATGGGACCGCTCCTGAAGTATAAACTATCTATTTAAAAAAATAGGTTTCTTAGTTTCGATATTCAGGATTTTTAAAACAAGAGGAAGCGCATGGAAGGCATTTTCAACGGCGTCAAATACCGCTCTTGTAACCATGTTAGTTTGTTTTTATTAAAAAATTTATAGTGACGTCGTTCACCTCTCATGTAGCAATCCTAGGAAATCAGAGTTTTGCATTGTCGCGAGCTGAAGTGACGCTAATAATTAGATATATGCCCAAATCACTTAAGCGGTATTAAAATGATAATTAACAAAATTACTTAAAAGTTATTACAGCCTATATACGTCCCACGGCTGGGCACAGGCCTCCTCTCATTTCTGAGAGGGTTTTAGGGCAAGGAATAGTCCGCCGCGCTGCTCCAATGCGTGTTGGCGAACTTCACATGTCTTCGAAATATTTATTTCTCTGACATGCAGGTTTCCTCACGCTGTTTTCCTTCACCGCCGAGCACGTGGTAAATCAGCACTTAAAATTGCAATTAACAATTTCATTGGTGCCGGCGGGGATCGAACCCGGTTTGCTCGCGTACTGTGAAATTTACAGCTACCACGGCTCACAAAATTACTTATTTTGGACAAATTAGATGCACCCAACATAAAGTCAAAAAATATTGAAATGTGGTGAAGTAGTATTACAACGCTAGTACATAAGTTAAGTTACTGATTTATGTAGGGGAGTCATCTATAAAATTCTTGATCAAGCGCGCGTGTTTAATTCAAACCTCAAAATATTTCAGTTGCCCAACTGTCGGGAGACCTACACATTTTCTTAAGTTATAATTCGTCTATACCTATAATAACCGGTATACCTACGCACGCACACAAATTCAGCGCAATTAACGATGCTGTCACGCACACAAACTGGTCAATTTTGGCCCATATTTTAAACGTAGACAGAGAAACCTATAGACTAATGATTAGCGTGGCGTTGAGTGAGAAAGGACGATAGCGTAGTTTTAGGTTATACAATAATCTTTATGACTTTTAAACATATTTAGATAAAAATTTTAATTGTTCTTAGAACTGAACTGAACAAGATTCACCAATCTTAAACTCACAAAACACTTTCTTTCTCACTTAAACCAACTTGTAAACTCCTTAGATCGCTACGAACTGTCAAAGTTATTTAGCAAAGTGTAGTTTGCTAAATAAAAAAACCGGGACGGAGAAAGTGACAAACAATCACACCGCTCTGTCTCATTTGTATTCAAGACGTGTGCATAAATCTATCTTTTTCATGTGCGAATGCGAAATAAGGCGTCAATTTGTCTATAGGTTTCTCTATCTATGATTTTAAACGTAGTTGTAGAGCTTCGCGGTATCTAGACATTACATAATAAAGTCTAAGCCTTGAAAGCAACTTAGTTTTTGTTTCAATGTCCCGAATAACCAGACTAACCTCTTTAAATAAATCTAGGTCAGGGGTCAGCTTGTGATCATATAAACGAATTGTGGTTGTATGTTATTTTTATTTACTATTAGTAATAAATAATGTTAAATAGTTAAGTTTTATTTAAAATTAAAATGCAAGCAATTTTACCTTACCCATATTAGAAGAACACTACCCTTACATACCTGTTATAATTATTAGTATAATTATTAATGAGTTAGTTTCGGTGAGAAAAAAAACCCTCAAAACTTAATTGCCTTTAATACGCCATTTAGACACTCGCAACGAAATAATGTTTTTTAAGTGAAATTTGTTTAGGACATATTTAAACTTAGAAAGTGATAAACGTATATGCAAAAAAATATATAAAGATTATAATTAAACCATACTATATTAAAGGTCCAATATACAACAAGCACAAAATAATAAAAAAGAAAAAGTCAAAAACAACGAAAGAAACGAAAGGCATGCAAAGAAATTTAAAATAAATTCGGAAAAAAAACCTACAAGCAATTTGCTCATCCTGACCGTAACGTCTAATGAGTATTGAATCTGGAAAGGTTCGTATGAAGCTGAGACAATGAGAGTAAGGCCCAAAATCAATTGTTGCTCGAATTTAAGCTAGCGCTCAGGATCAAAACTAAAGATCGCTAATCCATGCGATCAATAATTTATAAATATCTTTTACAAATTTACAAAGAAAGCTTAAGTTACAGACTATATACGTTCATTCGCTGAGCACACAACAATATCTCCACCACGCTGCCCCAATGCTCTGCACCACCATGCATGTTGGCAGACGTTTAATATTTCACACCAGCTGCTTTACTTACGATATTCTCGCTACAGGTGAGCTCATGGCAATTTAGCCCCAAAATTGCAATTAGCTATTTCAGTGGTGCTGGTATTTGGATTTAAAACTCCGTTTGCTCGCGTGCTACGTAATTATAAAGGGAAATTTCATCACTAAAACTACCACGGCATAACACAAAGCAGCTACACTAGAAATGCTAGGAATTCACATGTCAATATTTTACCGTCCTAAAAACTCTATGAAGTTCATATCATGTTACTCATGCTATAGCTACGCACTAATGTGTAAATGTACAAACAATTGCAATTTATGTGAAATGTGGGCAGTGGTCGGATTATGTGTGCAGTGTTGAGTGTTTCCGTGCCACTTACCGATATAGCTAAGCATGACGGGCAAGAAGATAAGGCCATGGGCTGCACCGAACAACACGATGCCCAGATACATTCGGAAGTAGAATACCTGAATGGGGAGAAACAAAAATATTTTTATTAAACATTAGAATATCATTAATAAAGAGACAATATATATATATATATATATATATATATATATATATATATATATATATATATATATATATATATATATATATTGATATATATTAGAATTTTCCTAAACAACGCTTGACAGGCAGACGATTGACGTCGAGTCCTTTCACTGATTTAGGTAATTTACAAACAAACAAACAATGATCCATTGTCACACTTAAATGACCATATAAAAGTAATAACAAAGTGTTATACTAAACAATTTACTTTAAAAGTTTATTAATATCTTATCAATAAACTTTCCATTAATCTGGAGATAATCTTAAGTACGTCACGTAATAACTTAAAAGAGGTTATATGTATGTGCCTTGCATCTTATTATTTTATAAGGTCTAAGTTCTTAATAGTATTTAGCCTTGATGTTAATGGTCATAGCCACGACATTAAACAATAGGGGTGTGACAAATGATTTTATTATTATAATAACACTAGCTTTCATTTATATTATGTTAATTTTTTTTAATTTTCCCGGGAAAAATCCTAGCATATTATGTTAACTTTCAGGGAAAAAACTGCGTTAATTCATAGGTTGTGAACGAAGGAGAAATTCTTATAAAATAACATACTACCCCGTTTGTTTTTGCGGGATGAAAGTAGCTCGATTCATTGCTCAGTTGCGGCGTTATTAAAAGACAAAGCAAAAACCAACAACCAAACAATTTCGCATTTATTAGGCATATAAGTGAAGATAAACATTACGATGTCACAATTTCACACTAGTTAGAAATTTAAAAAAATGAATGAGTGGATAATTATAATAAACAGAAAATTAATTCTAAAAAGTCAGTCATTAATTAATTTTCTATCTAACAAATTTTATTCAGGCAAACTGCTCACCTGATGATAAGTGCCTTTTGAAGCATGAAGCTGATTTTTTTTTTATATATAGAAGAGGGGGCAAACGAGCATGCGGCTCATCTGATGTTAAGTGAATACCGCCGCCCACGATCAACCGCAACACCAGGAGAATTGCGGGTGCGTTGCCGGCCCTTTAGAAAGGAGTAAGCTCTTTTCTTGAAGGTCCCCAGGTCGTATCGGTCCGGAAAAATCGCCGGTGGTAAACTATTACACAGAGAGATTGTGTGCGGAAGAAAACGAACAAGTCCTTAGAGCACTCCCCGCGGTATATGCGAAAGAAAATGCAAAGAGATGCAACATCTCTTCGCAACGCCAGTGAATCGAGCCGCTCTGCGCTGGATGCGGTCAAGTGGAAGGAGCTGGTACTGGGGAGCCCCAGCCCAGAGATGGGAACAGTATTCCATGTGCGGCCGAACCTGCGCCTTGTAAAGTTGCAGGCGGTGTGCCGGCATGAAATATTCTCCCGCTCCGCTGAGCACGCCAAGCATTTTAGAGGCCAATTTGGCCTTCTCTTCCAAATGACCACGAAACTGCACGTCACTCGATATTTCGACGCCGAGGATTCCGATACTGGCTGAGGCTGAATGAAATAAAGATGCAAATACGTTGTAAACCCTGGCAACTAAGATGGATTACGCTCACTATACGAAACAGGAGCATTATTTTAGCTGTTTCACACTAGTATTCCGTGAGAGCGGATTACTTCCGTCGAGCCGTCCCATTGGTGCTGTAGCCATGTACAAATCTAACATAGCTTGCACCGTGGATTCCATGGATTTTTTGGCATTTCTCATAGTCACTTTTAGAATACCCATGGTACCTATAAATCATGCGCTCAGTGCACTGACCTGGAAGATCTGGCTGTTGGCGGTGCCGAGCACCACGATGCCGCCGAACTTGGTGAGCGTGATGCCGGACAGCACGGAGGAGCCCATGCGCGTGAGCGCGGTGGCAGCGCGCGCCTCGCGGGAAGCGCCCTCCGCCACGCTGAAGCTGTGCACCAGGTGCGAGCAGAACTCCACCGCGATGCCCACCGCCATCACCTGCACGCCAGCACAAGCATCACATACCGCACCATGCACATTACATCACCACTACACCACACATACTACACATACGTTCCTCACACATCAACACCAACCACTATCAACACGCCACTACTACTAACCTATGTTCAGCTGCGGGCTTTCGACACTACAGCCTGTCAAAAGTCCACAGCTAACCACAACCTAAGAAGAACATACAGTCACCGCGTTTAATATTGTTGCAAAAGCCGACATAAGCAACCAATTGCTAGGGTTATCAAAACAGGAAGTAATAAAAAAAATATAAACTGATTTTATTTTATTTCACGTTTGAACTAATTTCTATGTATGTGGATACTGATGAAACTTTAATTCCTTATCTTTAAACGAGGATGACCCACAATCTTTACCGCACATGTAGTATGAACTACTTTAATTTATTTGCGTGACAAGACAACCCTAGCGGACGCTCCGCATGATTGTCCCGGCTGAACATAACTGTGAAGCAAAAATAAACATCCGATGTTTTTTTTGACTGTATTTTTTTTACTAATGAAATACTTTGGTTCTGTTTGTGTTTTATTTTTGTTCAATTCATTAGAATTGTTTCCATGAAGTCGAGGAGATGATATCGAACAAGTCGCAAAAGTTATAGCGTCTTTTAATAGGGTGATTTACTTTTGCCTCACCCGTGTTAGGTTGTCTCATAGAACGGATATTTCACAAACGTAGCGACTATGATTTTTATTATTATTTTGAAATGTTATCAGGAAGATGTTGCAGCCCATCCCGTGTTTCATTTCCCTTTGTCATTTCCAACGACACTCCGAAACCACGTTACTGTAGAAATGTAAGATGTACTCTGACCTAAGAGATAAAATGATGAATGAGGCACGTCCAGACAACTACGTAGATCCGGTAAATCCGGTTCGTGCGGCTACAGGAGTTCGCGCACTATTGGCACCAGAGACGTGGAAGGTCTAAGAATATGTGCTTGGACCTACTATGCCTCTGTCTGAGCTTGTTATGTAGTGATGTAGTTAATAAAAGCCAAGAACAATAGAGGGCCTACATGCGAACCATGAGGCACCCTGGATTGAGCTTGATACTCAGATTCAAAACCTTGATGAAAGATATGACATAAACTATCTAATCAAGAAGGTACTTATACCACATATAGAGAAAGTTTGTTAATAAGTTGCTTGTGGTCAACCTTGTCGAATGCGCTGATAAAGTCTCTGTAATTGGCGTTGATCTCTTGGCACCTATTTACCTCTTTAAAAAAAATAGAAGCAAATATTAAAGAAAGGCGAATGATGATGATTATCACAGAAATCTAAATAACAAGGCACTAGAAATGTTTTAATATCGGAACGCGTGTCGCTGGGTCGCAGCTATCACACATAGACAAACAATAAATACAAAATTGCGCCTACACATATCTCTAAAATTCACGCAACAAAGATTAAACTATAAATTATTGCGTTAAGGAATATTTTATAAAAACGCTAAATCTCAGGAGGCGTAGCCACTTGGTCCAATAATTTAAGTATGCGAAAAACAGAGAATGACACTCTCACTTGATCATAGTGCAGCGCAACGCACGTTTCGATAACTTTCTATTAAGCGTCGTTGATTGTCCAGGAGTCTCACACTAAGATACTAATTAACTGAAAGTGTCTCAGTAATAGACGCTTTTAGTCTTAGCTTTAGATTTTAGACGTTTTATAATTAGAGAAAAGGGGATATAATAAAACGTTAATGATAAGTATTATCCATTTAATTTTAATATCCGGATTTTTTGGAAACCTGGAATAATAGCATTGTATTAAATGAACAGATGTATAAATAAAATGAAAGCAGCATTATACAAACAGCAAACTAATAAACATATGTATGGGTGATATAGTTATCATTTATTATTAGTTTTAAAGACCTGTAACTGACTTTCCGTTGTTTGTAATTTTTCAGTTACCCAGCTTACAGATCGAATTTAGCCTACTATCCTTACAATATAATTACTTATCCTTGCAATCTATTAAAACTGCAAAAAAATATCAATAAAAAATCACAAAAACGCGATAAACGGTTAACGGTATAAAATATTTAGAAAGAAAAAAGTAGAGAAGGTGTAAATAAATATTTAACGAAAAATCATGTTTCATTCCCGTTTCGGTAAAACTAGATAAGCCAAACAATAAATTATCGGTATAAAATCAGTGTCACATCACTGACTCGCACCTAGTCGACTCCTACGGCCGTGTTCTTGGAAATTTACGCACGCAACAATATTGTTTATTGCCCATACTATAAATTCATCGCTGCCTTTAGCTGTCGTACTATAGGACTAGGACATGAACTAGCTTAAGAATCAATGGATATTGAAATGTGAAAACAATTACATTTTCGGAGACAATCGTACTGAAGGTGAATAATTTTATTTAAGTATATTTCATTAAAAACAACATTATTTAAAACATTAAGTACTTATTTATGAAATGTTATCCCTTTATTTGAATGGAAGAATTTTCGGGGTTGGATATGTTTCAAAATACCATTTTTCGTCTCTGCGTCCGAAACAACACTGGTGACCGAAACAAATGCTTCTCGCGCGCTTGTGGCCTACGAGTCATAAGTACGGCGACAAGGTCACTTGCTTTTACGATTTCTATTGCCTTATTATTTAGATTACTGTGATTATTATATATGACATTAATTTTCCATATAGAAGAAATACGAATTTACATTTGTCATTTATTCAGACATCCATATAGCGTAGCCAACATTTTCTCGGGATGAGCTTAAAAGAACATTGAAGTGACGGTGTAAGAATATCTTCTATCGCATATGATGTCGTAGGTGTCGTAAGAGACCGACACAGAGAAACTGAACAGGACATAGGCAGCAGCGTTTTCCGGATAACAATTCAATGAAAAAGTTTCGGTTGCCAGTCTGCCAAGTATGGAAACTATGATAAAAATCCCCCTATGAGGCAGTTTATATAGGGAGGCCTAATTTCAGCACTAGACTTTGATAGGAAGTAATGATGATGGTCAGGGAAAATTAACTTGTCTCTTAACATAGATTTTATCTTTTAAGTTTTCTTAGAGTTTGATTATTTATTGACTGTGCTTAAATGAAAAAATATAAGACACTACAATGTATATTAACTCTCGTATGGTTCTAAATCACCAGCGTAACCGTGCGTAACATTATGAAAAAGCAAAATTTCAAACAACTATGATAAGGAATACTGTAGTATTTCTGAATTTCAATTTGAATTATTTGGAAAGATAGAAAAAAGATTTTTATTTGAAAAATTTGCGATTTCCCGTTCAAGAACTTAACAACAACATTAACGTCGATTCTGTGGAAATTAGATACCTTGTCGTATGTTTTGGCATGCATACAAGAATACAACACGAGTAGGTATTTAAACCCTAAAATTAACGTGATCACAGTCAGGCATTTTATTTATAAAATATATATGGTTTTTGAGACATACCAAGTTGACGAGCGAGACGGCGTTAAGACTGATGCCCCACCAGTACATGAGGCCGCCTAGGTTCACCACTATCATCGTAATCGTGATCACGACCACCTGAAATAATAGGTTTCTCATTGACGTCTCTGTATTGTTATATTGACAAGATATATAAGTTCTCATTTTTATATTACTAAATAAAAATAATGGCTACATAGTTTAGTGGCTAAGAATTTGGCTAAAAAGCTACGATTGTGGGATCAAATCCCGCGTGGATTATGTGTTTGTATGGCCTAAAAATAATTATTCCCGCTCTAAATGTTTGTCCACGATTATTTATATACGTACATAAAATGCCTACACAATATAAGAGAAAATTCTACTGTGGGGTAATGTTTTTATAAGAAGCAGCCCACGGTTAGATTTCAAGTGTCCACTACAACCAACTTAAAAAGAAGGCTGCAGATGCCTTGCCACCAAAAAATGTTGCACATCCTGCAATTATATTGGTTCTTTATAACTTTCAGACCGAAACACGAATTAGCTCCAACCGCCAAACAGCAGTACGCGCAGTTGTCGGCGGAAATAGGTAATACGGTAAAAGGCCGGTGGACTCCAAAGATGAAATATTTTTACGAAAATGAAACGTTAAACAAAAGAAGTCCAACAAAGAAAAGATATTGGTAATAAATACTTAAAACTTATAATGATTTCTTGTATTTACGCGAACACTACACATTGAAATAATACTAGTTTTTACGGAATTTATCGCGTATATTTAACTTTTTAAATACTTAACAATAACTTAATAATTTAACTTGCAAGTTAAATATTAATCTATGGTAACCGCGGTTAACTATGACATATGGACGTTGAACATCTCAGTCCCGCCCGTGACCATGAGTGCTGTAATACGTTCGAAACGTCGGGTATTTAAAAAGTTAAATATACGCGATAAATTCCGTAAAAACTAGTATTACTTAAAACTAATTTTTCGTCTTATAAGCGTCTTGAATTATAAATCAAACTTCTATTGATAACGATAAAATTTGAAATAACATAATCAATATAATCCAATAACGTCTGCCAAATGGCAAGTACGGCAATTTTTTTTAACTAAAGTAAAAACCGAACAGCCATCCGATAATAAGTGGTTACTGCAGCCCATGGACATCTGCAGCCAATTTCAAGTAAAGAAGGCCGCCTCATACCCTATAATATCCCCCATATCCCCTTAATAGGTAATTCATAGCGGAGATTCGTGTTTTGCAGAGGATTTTTTATAATAATAATAATGTCCTCCCGACCGAATTTCGGCCACGGCAGCCTGCCTCAACGGAGTCTAGCCATCGGCGCGGGACAGGATTATAGTGGCCAAGTGTATGAGCAAGCACAGGTGCACTCTCTATTCCCTCACTCTCATAATCCGATGGGACGGTAAACCGACACGACCGGAGGAGAGATCAGGCGCAGGACCAACGGCTTTACGTGCTTTTCGAGGCACGGAGGTGAGACACCGCCAACTTCTTGACTCCGAGCAACTACTGAGAATTTCTTGACAGAAAAACTCAATAATTAATTTTTTGACCCGACCCGGGATTCGAACCCAGGACCTCATGATCAGCAGTCGCACTACTACAACCACTAGACCAACGAGGCAGCAAATTCAAAGTGAGGATTTTTTATAGCCTGTAATTAAATATAAATGTAATATCGTATTTAAAATCAACTCACCAACGCCGAGAACAAGTCGAAGCCCATCAAAATAAAGGTCACAATGAATATCGACAGCACAGATATGCCCATTGACTTCAGTGTATCGGGCCACATGGTCAAATACTGTTCGTAGAACACATAGAAGACAGAATACGGGAACACGTTGACCGTTGTGTTCTTGCCCTGTTCCTTGAGGTTTCTGTTCAAGGTTTCGGTAAGGTTCGCGGCCACAGTTCTGGCCGCTCTTAAAGCCGAGTAGTAATCGTAGCTCGTTTTGAGCACGGTGTGGTAACCTTGGTAGAACGTGGCGCCGACCTTGGCCATGGATTTGTTGTACATTTTGTAGTTGACTGCTTGGGAATAAGCCGCATGTCCTCCTTTCGAGCATTCTACCGTCGGGTTGTCCTGCAGGAAGTACGGTACGTAGTGGCTGAAGTCGTTCGCACTTGGACGTTTCTCGTCGCCTACAAGCGATATGTTACATTTTTGACAGCCTGCAAAAGAAATTTATTTTTTAATACTTTCTTATTAATGACAAAATGGATGATTTTCGAGAAACCGCATCACATTTTAAAATCTTAAAAGAATAATGTACAACTCGTATGTGTTGCTAGGGTAAATTTATGAGGAAGTCTAACGTCGCTTAACATGCTATGCTAGGAGTTTTTTAGTCAGCAAAACGAAATTAAATAACATTGTATAGGTAAGATGTAATGACAATGGGCTGGCCAAATAAATCGCAGAAGCGACAACCTATGGGCAAGAAAAGGTTCTGCGAAGAATACGGTAATCACTTCCCTAGCCTACAAAGAACATACAGTCAGTCATCGCGTTTGACGTTGTCGGAAAAGTCGATATAAACAATAAAATGCTAGGGGTTGTCAGAACAGGAAATAATAAAAAAATAAAAAACTGATTTTATTTTATTTCACGTTAAAACAAATAAAACCAGGACAAATGAAAAATACCAAATAAGGACGACTCACAGTTTTTTATTGCGCATGTAGAGTGTGTACCATTTTAATTTATTTGCGGGGACAACCCTAGCGGAGAGAGCGACTAACGGCCGCTCGGGAGCGCTCCGGCCGCGTCTCGCACTGACCGGCTGAACGCCTAGTTAGTAGTAGTTCGAGTTTGCCCCTACCCATTAAATAGAGCCAAGTGCAGTACTGGATATGGGCTCCCGGTCGCAGTACCTGACAACTCACACTATCAACGCTGCTGCTCGTTGCCGGTCTGGGTATTTTACGTCATACACAAACAAGATGATTAAACTGCCATCGGTAACCATAAACGTTTTCTGACTATTCCATAGTCGCCTCTTACGACACCCATGTTACGAAATTAATACAAATACTAAATTTATTCATTTCTAAATGCAGAGTAAACACACAATTTTATTAGTTGTCCTAATTCATCGTCATTTTCATATTTAACATTTGTTCATCATCATCATCATCATCATTACAGCCCTACACAAGTCCACTGCTGAACATAGGCCTCCCCCAAGTAATGCCACAAAGCACGGTCCTGAGCCACCTGCATCCATCGACTTCCTGCATGTCTTACCAGGTCGTCACTCCATCAAGTGGAGGTCGCCCTGTGACGCCACACGTGAGTTTGCCTATAGCGGGCCTATAGCTGAAGTTTGCCTATAGCCTGCCTATAGCTGAAGTTTGCCTATAGCCTGCCTATAGCTGAAGTTTGCCTATAGCCTGCCTATAGCTGAAGTTTGCCTATAGCCTGCCTATAGCTGAAGTTTGCCTATAGCCTGCCTATAGCTGAAGTTTGCCTATAGCCTGCCTATAGCTGAAGTTTGCCTATAGCCTGCCTATAGCTGAAGTTTGCCTATAGCCTGCTATAGCTAAGTTTGCCTATAGTGCCTATAGCTGAAGTTTGCTTATAGCCCCACACTAATTATGCTTGGTTGTCTTGGTTGAGCTTACCAATAATTCAGATCAGATGGTAAGGCAGTGCGCTTGGCAGTCTCTGATTTATTAAAAAAATGATAATAATATTGTGTAAAGGTTGTGTTTATATAAATTAAGTGAAAATATTTTATAAAAACTAAAGACGAACCATTAAAAATATTGCTTTTAATACTAAAATAAATAACCTTGCTTCACTTACCACTGAAATCATTCGGACAGAAGCTAGAGTTGCTTGGGAAGTACTTGCAACAGTTTTCTAAGGCAGTCCAGTCGAAGAAATCGTCAAGCCAAGAGTTGGGCGGCTGCGCCAAGTACGTCTCGTTTGACGTCAGATATGCTGCAAAAATATTATTTATTTAAAAAAATTACTATGTTGTCTCATATTTTAAGACTGTGATACCACGAGACTTAACATCTCAGCGTTTGAGCATTTATTAACAATATAATATTTAGTTTCTACCAAAATGTCGTATATGTTACTTTAGAATTTAAGTAATATATTGTTAATTATATACATAAGCTCACATTTTTACATTAAAAGTGTTAATATTAGTTAACTCACCGGAATACAATTGCATGGAGAGACTGTCTTGGTTACAGAATCTTGTTCCACAGACCATATTTTGTTCTTCTTTTTGTGAGAAGTCCAATCCTTCCGTTAGCACAAAATATACTGGAGGTCCGATATTCAGGTATCGGTTTAGATGTTGGAAGTATTTCAGTTGGAAACTGTCATGCGGCATGGATAGCTCTTGATCCAAACCAATATCTATGTGAGGTGCCACCTGTAAAGATATCAAATACAATGAACAAAAAATAATAACAATTATCTACTTACAGATAAATTAATATTTACTTATATATTAACCATAACTCTGATTCGGTTTCATCGGATTCCTATATTTACGTTAATAGTGCACATCAAATATAAACTAACTTTATCGCTTTTTTATGATATGTAAAGTTATTGTATGAAATTTAATTTATAAAAATACTGAACATAGCTTGAGGTCAATATGACTTCAGCGGGCGGAGCCAAGTTAACTTTCTACCATCATTAATTTTTATAGCGTACGTATAGTATTATTAATGCGTAACGTAAGCGTAACAATATAGCGTTAACGATTAAGGTTCATCGTTGCATTTCGAACGAAGATGCCGGTACCCATAATCATATACGCTGTTAGTGACCACCGTGGCTCTTTAGCCGGTAGGAGTCCGTTATAACTTTTACGTTGCTCCTGCAGCGAAAAGTATTCAAGAGGATTTCCTTATGATAAAAAAGGTCTCGCACTCACTAACGTAACTAACGTTAGCGTTAATAATTATACAAAGTCAACTTGGCTACGCTTGCAGTCTCTTCATGACATAAATTATTCTAAATGAAATAAATTTTATTGAATCGGTTTCATTTTGTAAATTAAGATAATTAAGCTCTCTTAGGTCACCAAGGTCTGCTGAGCCAGACTAAAATAACAATAGTAGCCTGTACGGCAAACTTTGGCAACAACTGAGTGTTTGTTATTCTTTACTTTGGGCTTGTCTTGGTTGATCGTACAGAGCGTCAGTTCATCAAGTATCCGTTCGTTGAAGCAGAGTTCGAAGTGAACGTGAGGTTAAAAAAGCATGTCACAATAACATTTAAGCATAATATAACAAAGTAGTTAAAGAAAAAGAACTCAGCTCATGTTGCAATGGAACCGTATTCCCATAGAGCTGATTTAAACCATTCCAGTCTGCCCGAGATGTTGTGCTCGAGCAATGAGATACATCTAGAGTAACACATAAAAGCAAAATTCACTTACAGCAACAGAGGAGCACAGCCATGCGAAGAAAATGATCATAACGGATGCGCGCACTTCCCTCTTCATAAGAAATGGCACGTACACGTGGCGGAATAGGTTATAGAGGGCGCCCTCGCCCGCCGCCGGGGTTTCCGCTTTTGCGCCACTCATACAGCACAGCACATCGAATCTGGCAAGGTGTACTTTAACATTAGCTCGAGCTTTAAAATACTACACATTTATTTAAATGTACACCAAAATTCCTAATTTTCTCTATTAGTAGTAGTAGTTACAGTTTAACACTAATTGAATATAAAATTTTTTCAACAAATTATACCAATCAGGAGCATAAGGATTGTACAAAGATCAATTCATTTACACAATACTAAGTACCTAAACATGAGATGTGCAGCTCGAAAGACCAGGCGTTAATGTTGTTGGTTTACTTTGTGATATGTACTGTACCTCAAAATCTCAAATATATCAAAATCTCAAAACTCGATTGCACAACCAGTGAGTGTTGCCAGTGATGACCTATGGATCTGAGAAGTGGTCCTTCACTGCTGGCCGTATGAGGAACCTCAAAGTCGCGCAACGAGCTATGGTGAGGGTATGCTCGGAGTTTCTCTGCATGATAAACTTAGGAATGAGGTTATCCGCAGTAGAACCAGGGTAACCGACATAGCTCAACAGATTAGTAAGCTGAAGTGGCAATGGTCCAGCCATATAGCTCGTAAAACCGATAACCGATGGGGAAAAAAGGTTCTCGAGTGGCAGCCTCGTACCGGCAGGCGAAGTGTAGGGCATCCCCTCTCCCCTAGATGGAGTGACGACCTGGTAAGACATGCAGGAAGTCGATGGATGCAGGTGGCTCAGGACCGTGCTTTGTGTTATTCCTTGGGGGAGGCCTATGTTCAGCAGTGGACTTGTGAAGGGCTGTAATGATGATGATGATGATGCTTAAGTCTTGCTATTTTAAAGGTGAAATTTGTTGTTTGTGAATCTATTATTTTTAAGACGTGAAGTTTATTTCACATTACACTTTGCCCAAATAATGCCGTATGTTGGATGTTCTCTTTTTCTTCTTGGTATAGAAATCATGACATGTGGAAGACATTACCTCTTTTTTCAACCCACACAGTGTCGCTAATGTCTAACGTCCTCACGATGTTTATGCTAGGCGCTGTTTCTTGTGCTCGATTACCTTTTGGCAAAATGATGTGGATCGTCACGTATCCTTTTTTAGCCATTTGAGTTATTCTTTAGTCATGTGACTTATGCCCTATTACCTCTTGGTATACGGATATCAAATGTAGCTCAGTCCTCTATACTCTTCGTTTTTATTTTTCTGCGTAGATATAACTTACGCCGAATTACCTCATATGAAAAATAGGAACAATTGATCTAAGAGACTTAAAAACACATAAAATAACGTTGAATCAATTAAATAAAAAAGCCAATTAATGCTAAATTCAACAAAAATAAATTTATTTTTGTTGAATTTAGCATTAATTGGCTTTTTTATTTAATTTAATTGTGTGTTGATATACAACGAAGTACTTCCAAATTTTGATAGTGTAATTTAGACCTCGGTGCGCCTTGCCTGTGGCGCAAGGACATCGCCGCTACAAATGGTATAAAGTGCACGCGCGCGCGTGTGTGCACGTGTGTGTGTGTACGTGCGTGTGCGTGCGCACCTGTTAGCGTTCTGGCGGTGTGTGTCGATGGCGAGCAGCGCTACGAAGCAGGTGACCTGCAGCAGGAAGTCGACGAGCAGCGCGGCGCCCGCGTACAGCGCGAAGGCGCGCACGGCCGGCATGTCGCTGAGCGCGCCCAGGAAGAAGCACACCGACTCCGACACCGACGTCAGGAACATGGACGGCCCCACCTGCCCCAGCCTGCGCACACGAGCCACTCAGTTAATACTACTATGTTATACTGCCAGACGGGCAATATTGTACCTAACACATTTTGGTTGGTAAACCATTGCACAATAAGTTACGGTTAATTCTCCGTAACTTCTTTAATCGTTTGCAAAGTGACCGAAAAGACCAGTTATTTGTTTTGTAAACGTTGTTGTGAACAATCCAACACTGATTTTGTTTAATGTGACTAAGAAACCGCTGTCATTATTATTTTTGCAACTTTATTTCTTATTCGCACAAAGCAGTACTAGTCGTAAATGAGCCTACAATTGCGTGGCATATTTAACGTACCAGCTACCCGGCCGCGCCCTAGCATATGCGAGCGATAGATGTGACACAGTTTCTGTTCTGAATTACTGGTCTAGTAATATAGTACATAGAAGTCTTTGATTATAGCTTATCATTAGTTCAGTGTATATCCCCTAGATTGTCTCATAGGGTCATTCGGCCCCTATTTGGCCATGGTCCCGCTTGAACAAGAGAGTCAGCAGCCATTTTTTATAATTTAAATAATAATGCCCTCCAGACCGACTTTCTGTCACGGTGGCCAATAAAAACGGAGACTAGCCATCAACGCGAGATAGCATTACAGTGCCCAAATGTATGGTGCTCTCTATTTTCTCACTCTCATAGTCCGATTGGACAGCGACCCGACACGACCGAAAAGATATCAGACGCAGAACCTTTCCGAGGCACGGACTGCCAATTTCCTGACTCGGAACCATAGAATACTATAATAGACAATAGCACTAACATGTCAATTCACATCTTTAAAAGTCAACAAATCTTTTGTCACGGTCGTTGCCTAATTTTTGTGCCAAACCTAGCAAGGTGAAACTTATTTCAAAAATGCCGAATTGTGTGATAATTACGTGTCGGAAAAACAGCTGGATGTGAAATTTCAATAAAAGTGGTATATCCTTCCACCAGTAAGTCGAAACCTTTTATATTTTGTGAATATTAGAATCAAAAACAAATAAATATTGATGTGTAAAAATAGTAGTACTAGGATGTAACAAAATTTGACTGATACTGGTAAACCGGAAAATATTGTCGCTTTTCAAATTGTACGAGGGGTGATCCAAAAGTAATGATAATCGGTTACTTCAGGTCCGCATAAAAATCCAAAAAAAAAAATTTTTTTTTGCTTGCTTATATACTCACTACGTCAGCATAAAAAATCATATAAATAGATCACGATTTCCGGGAGATACATTCATTTAAATACGAACTGTCAAAGAGATAACATCAACATGGAGAAGTTTAAACTGGGCAGAACATCCACTGAAGATGAACATCGCGAAGGACGCCCATCCACGTCCCTCACTGAAGACAACGTGAAAAAAGTCGAAGATGTTGTGTTGGCAGATCGAAGAGTGACCATCAGGCATATAGCTGAGGTCACAGGGATCTCATATGGCAGCGTTCAAAGAATCCTTGCGAATCTTAATAAATTGTGCTAACATATTTTAATTAAATTGTAATTTTGTTCCCTCTATAAGACATCATTGAAAATTTTCAATAGTTTTTAGACTTAACCTTCTGGTTACGTATCGTTACTACATACTATATGCTCACTTCACGCCCTATTAGGCAAAAAGGGTTCGCTAGACCCATTTTGTATCAAAAGAAAAAATATAATTCATAATATGTATGTATACCTCGTGTGTTTATATGTTTTGAGACGAATAAAGACAAATATTATTATGTAATAAATAAAAGTAATTTAATTTAATGTTAATTGCTAATTAATAAGCGAAATGTGGACCCACAATTTTAAACACAACATAATTATTCGAAATTCCCGCCTTGTTTCTGAATACAGGCCCTAAGACGGCACGCCCAGTCATTTATGGCGGCGCGGACTTGTTCAATGGTTATTCGCATTGATTATCTGACAAAGGCGGGCTTCAGTGACTCCAGGTTGAGGTAAGTTTCTCGGCAGGCCCTGAGCTCCAATTCTTTTCACAAAGCGTATTTCAGCGGGTTCAAGTCATTGTTGTTGTGATTGTTGAGATAACTAACTTTTCGTCGACTGTAGTCCTTTACTTTAAGATCATATTTCAATATCCTATTGATAGATATTCTTGATATGTTCGTTGGAATAGCCAGCGTCTTCTGAGTGCGGCAAGGATTTCGACGAAGACGTTCGCATATTAACTTGATGTTGGCAGGTGTCTTTACGCCGCGTCTTTCACTTCTGGGTCTGTCTTGCACTGATAACATCTCCCTGTATCTCTTCAAAGTATAGTAAACAAAGTTTCTACTAGCCCCAAGCTGTTTGATTTGATTAAAAATCTCCTTATGTTTCTTCCTTACCTTAAACAGTGAAATCACCGTAGAACGCAAATCTTTACTCGCCGCCATTTCGATAAAAACTAAAAATTAATCAGAATATTCCACTGAAGTACTATGTACTTACATACTAGAACAGCTATCTCAAACAAAAAATGTGCGCTACTCTGTGTTCGCGCGTCTGGTTTTTTTTTATCATAGAATAAACATAGGTAGAATGATCCGTAGGTAATAGTAGATTGTATTGTTAAATAATATCGAGAACAATATTTAAATTTTGTTATTTATTTTGTATATTATATTTGTTTATTTAATATAATATTACATAATATTATATCACAATTACATTTTAATGATATTTTTATCTGAATATTTTTAAAGGTATCTATGTCAAATATCAAAAAAAAACATACTAAATGTATGTTTAACAAAACTTATTAACATAAAATTTAAATTACAAATATATTTATTTAAATTAGAATCATAAATGCTGTAAATAATCGTTCATAAATGCTGGGCACGTGAGAGTTAAAATGGACGAATTTATTCCACTTTGACTTTGAAGTGGAAACCTAAAAATAAAAAAAAATAATAAGCAGATTTAAACATGAAAAATTTAGCCTAATTATAATAACTAATATATGTTTCTACAAAAAAATGTGTATTATAATATATTCGGCCTATACTTAAGTACCCACAGAAATGTCGCATCTGAACATATTAATTTCATAATCTATATTCCATGATACGAGATGGCGTCTTAGGAATAATTTGTTTTATTATTAATTTATAATACTTTTTTATTGATTAAGTATCTTATTAACCGATGAAAAGTAATTCCTTGGTTTTTACTGACATTTCTTGAATTATTTGTGCAATATCTAAGTACACAAGACGGCATATTTTTATCAAGAGATTTTTTTAGATCAACACAACACGTGACAACTATACAAGCGCCTAGCGAGTGACTGATTAAAGTGCGGTGCACGCACCGCAGTTGAGTGGAACAGAGTAGTTGAATGCAGTGTCTCCTCTAGTACGTAGTACATAACAGCTCAATGGAATATTCCAATTTCAAAATATTTAAAGAAATAAATTAAATACGAGCTCATTCTATTTTCGTAATTTGATTTTTAAAAATCGTCTCAAGACTTATGAACACACGAGGTACTTCATACTTTTTCTTCCAAGTTTGCCCTTGCCTGGTGTTGGCGTACCAAGACTGTATTATTTGTTACCTTTTGGTACTTTTTTAGATTAGATAAGCTATATTTTTATTTACATAAACCGTTTTTGCAGTTTTCCTGGAGATCTAAATATAAAAAAATATGGATGGAAGCCTCGGGAAGAATTAATGTAATGTCTACCAGAAATGCTCAATTTTTTTTCAGATTGACTTCTTATCCATACATTATAAAATATTTGAAGGACAATGCAACTCCAGATAAAGAAATTTTATACATAACATTTACACCGGTTAGTGTAATCCTGTGAAAAGGATTCATTTAACGTCTAAGAATGTGATGACTCGAGAAAACAAGGCTACTAATGACAGAATTAAAGAAGAATAAGATATAAGCTAGAAACTTGGTAATCACTCATAAGCAGTAATCACTGTTTTCTGAGTGTTACGGACGGCGAGACGACCATTGGAGGCAAAGAAGAGCTCCTGATAAGAAGCGCAATCAAGAAAGAAGAGTAAGTAAGAAAATCCCTCCAGTGCTCCCCTATAGTGTTATGTTAGTTAGATTTTATGTAACTGTGCTGCAATATTGTAAATAGTGAAATAAGTTGTTTCTTAAGTTGTCGCATCTTTATTTAAATAGAACAATTATAGTATAGTTTAATTTTATAGTTCTTCATCTAGTTTGTAACAGTCAATTCATTTCTCAATTAGCCCCTTATACAGTCCACATAGAAGTTATCAACATAACAAAATACAGTCCACTTGCTTGTTACGGCCTTGATGAATTTCTAATAAATGTAACCCATAAACTTTTTCATAAATTTTACTATACTGTTAATAGTGTTTTATTTACTAAACAAAGTAGTTACTGCTTTCTTAAGAACCAATAGTAATTTTAAGTTACTTTTATATTCGATTCAAAGTATTGCAATTTGTGGATGTTAACGAACATAGGCAAACAGGTCAACTCCTTTTAAAAACGATTTTCCTCATTATTCGTAAATATCCACCCAATTGATCTTGGGTACTCCCAGTAACCAAGCTAATTTATGCGTCGATTGACCTTGGGTCCTCCCAGTATCCAAGCACTGAATTCTTATTAGAAATGTGTTTCTTTTTCTATCGTAAGCTTGTTCTTATTCAAATATATTTTTATTTAAATCACACTAATCGTTTCCGCCCACTAAAGTGCCAAAAATATACACCATAATCAAAAAAATTAGAAAAAAAAATATTTTAACTGTCGTCTATCAGTGTCGTATCGACTCGAGTAGTGCTCAGTGTTTTTAGGTATTTGTGTATTCTTGTGCTCAAATCTACATTATATGTTGCAAGATTCGTAAGAAAAATTATGTACGATTGATTTACATAAAGATTTTGACTCATGGTTACGAAAAAATTTTAATAATTTGCAACAAGTCTACCCTTTGTCGTAAAAACATCAAACATGATTTTGTGGATATAAAAATAATGGCTGTGTATTTTATCTGTTTAAAGATGAAATATTATTAATATAATAATTAATGAGGCACTTTCATCGAACACGTGAAAAAATGTATCGATTTGAGAGTAGATTACATTTTTTCTAAAGATTAATCGGAGTCGGCCGTACTTAATTAAATAGAGCAAAAAAAAGTGTTTATGTGTACCGTATCCGTAGAAAGAGAAGTAGTAGTATATGTGCACCGGCAACACCGGTTGGCGTACAAAATAAGGTTTGAAGCTGTTCTATTTTGTACTATAGTATTCTATGCTCCAAACAATATTGAGAATTACCACGCTTTATAAAACCCTTCAGACAATAACACGGCTGAAATAGGTAAGAGTGTATTACCTAGCCAAACGAATTCTTAGGCAGGAAGGAAGTACCTACTACCTAGTAGATGTTAGTGCACGTGCAATATATGCATGAAAAACGTTTCCTAGATGCAGGAAAATTCTTACGTACGTCCTGCCGATGTGTTCAGCGACGGTCTCGTTGGGGCGGCGCGGCTCGCGCTGGCTGGTCTGCACCAGGATGAAGATGTTGTCGACGCCCACGGCCAGCACGAGGAAGGGGATCACCTCGACGATAACGAGCGTGGCCGCCACGCCCGCGAACCCGAATATGCCCACAGAGCACACCACCGACGCCAGCACGATCAGCACGCCTGACACAACCAAACAAATTGTTTCTTCACAAATACAGTGTTTACTTTCGTAGGTATCTCGTATCTCATATATATATATATATAATCGGAATCTCGGAAATGGCTCCAACGATTTTCATAAAACTTGGTGTCCAGGGGATTTCGGGGGCAATAAATCAATCTAGCTATGATTCATTTTCAGAAAATGTCGTTTTGTCCGTGTTTTCAGGCAATGAAAAACTGCTACAATATAAGAAGGTAAATTTTGGCGTTGTGTTAATGATTACAATAACTCATATATATAAAAGTTTAAAAAAAACCAATTCAATTTTAAGTGCAGATTTTACCACGTGCTACACTGTAGGAAAACATCGTGAGAAAACCGACATGTCTTGTAAAATAAGATAAATAATATTTAGAAGATATGTGAAGTTCATCAACACGCATTAGGGGAGCGTGACGGACACTTCCTTGTCCTAAAACCCTCTCAGAACTGAGAGGAGGTCTGTACCCAGCGGTGGGACCTATGTAGGTTATATTTATTATTACTATATTATTAAACTCAATTATCCTCGCATCTAATTGAAACTTGTATGAGACGTTGTCTAGGTACATTCCACAAAAAAAGCAACATTAGTTTATTATAATATTGATTACAATAAATTAACCGTAATAAAATACCATTTTAGAATATATGTACTAGACTATATGTTACATTCAACAAAAATACAGTCAATTCAGTAATCAAAACATAATAACACAATGATTTATAATGATAGTAAACTAGAACAATAAATAAAGAAAATAAATAATTTTATAAAAAAATGATTAAAAACTTATACATTTTTTATTTAATTATTCCCGTGGGTGACGTAAAGGCGACAGAGGGAAACAAACGGGGAAATGGACAACAGCGTCTTCCCAATAAAGTAAAGTTGCCATTTTTTGTTGCATTAAAATATAGGAAAAAACTATACTACTATGGGGAAGGCCCATAAAAGAAGCCCATATCCGACAGTCGGTTTACGGATAATATGTTTATTTTTTCAATCATCAATCTATCATAACAGATGGGATTAATCTTTGCCATAATTGAACGCAACGGTGGAGACTGACCTCCGAGTCCCAGAGTGACCTTGCTGTCGATGAGCAGCCTGGAGCACGTGGTGAAGCGTCCAAGCGCGATGGCGATGTAGGCGAACATGATGAAGTAGGAAACGAGGATGGTGGACACGTCGGACTGGGACTCGCGGTCCAGCTCGTCCTCGATGGAGCGCTCCGAAGTGTACGCAATGTCCATGTACGGCGGCATCTCGTTCTCCGTGTAGTTCTTCATGAACGCTATGAACTCTTTTTCCCATTCAAGCACTCCTTTCAACTGTTAAGAAAAATTTGTATAAATTTTTAACTTTTAATTGGCTTATGCCCAAATACTCAAACGCGGCTCGCATAGGCAAGCCTCGTGCTGTTTCTATCACTTTAAAATAAATTATCAGTGACACCAAGACTTAACGACTTCTTAAAATTGAGTAGCGTTTAAGTATTTGGCCACATAAGACATCAAGGGGTTTGGACTGTAATTTTTACTACATGTAATGCGGCGTTATGGCGTATCCACACATGCCGCCGGCTTATGCCGCCGGGTTTTGCCGCTGGCTTTCAGACTGCCTTGCCGCTAAATTTGCCGCCGGCCTTACCGGTGGCCTGCAGATGCGGTTGCAATTTTCGCAGTAGTGTTGTGACTTTCGTCGAAGTTAGTCGTGTACGTAGGATTGGAAGATGTTGGACTATAATATAGTTGCGTGTATCGCAAGATGTTATTATTCATAAAAAGAACCGCAAAATCAAACGAAGACATTGGGTCAGACCAAGTCTACGAAATAGGCCTAAGGTGTCCCTCATACTTGAATATTTTAGAAAGGACGACATAAACCGAAGAAATATTATTAACACTTTTCTAAGGATCTCTAGTGAAGAATTTGAAATATTACTGAATTTAACTGGACCCATGATATCAAAAACTGACACCCGCTGGAGAAATGCTGTGTCAGCTTCCGATCGACTAGCAATTACTTTGAGATACCTGGCTACAGGAGACTCTTATTTTTCACTCGGTACACTGTTTAAAGTGTCTCCACAAGTTATTTCTTTAATAATTCCAGATGTTTGTCAAGCTTTGGTATCTACATTATCCAATTATTTAAGGGTAAGTACAAATATCCATAACACATTAGGTAGTTAGAAACCGAACGCCTATATTAGAAAACAAAACAGATTATTATTTATTATATATTATTATTATTATTATTATTATTCACACAGTTATGGCATGTACAAGACACAAACATTTTAACTAAAAGATTCTTGCCAGGAGAGTTCACAGGACAACGGTTTCCTAAGTGACGTATCTATTCCTAGTCGAATTATAATGTCTATGATTTTATACTGTACCTGGAACTTCACACACATTTTACATACTTATAACTAAAACTACACACACAAATATCACAAACAATTTTATTTTACAGATACCGAATACACAGGGAGAATGGCTATCAGTGGCCCGGAGTTTCCTGCAGAAATGGAATGTACCTAATTGCGTAGGTGCCCTCGATGGGAAACATATACGTATACTATGTCCAAATAATAGCGGTTCCGAGTTTTTTTAACTATAAGTCATATTTCAGTATTGTTTTGCTAGCTTTAATCGATGCCAATTATAACTTTTTATATGTGGACATTGGATGTCAGGGCAGAATATCTGATGGTGGAGTTCTACGAAATTCAACTTTATTTGATATTGATACGAGATGGTACTTTAAGTCTGCCACAAGCGATTCCATTACAAGGGAGAAATACAACTGTACCTTTTTATTTCATCGATGACGATGCTTTCCCCATCTCACAGAATATAATAAAACCATTTTCTGGATATCATGCAAAAGGATCACCTGAGAGGGTTTTTAATTACAGAATTAGTCGCGGGCGCATGGTTGTAGAAGACGCGTTTGGCATTTTATCTAATAAATTCAGAATTTTGCATTCACGCATTGGTTTACAAAATGAGAAAGCAAAAATTGTCGTGATGGCTTGTGTGCATCTGCATAATTTTATGAAGAGAAATGAAAGAACTACTGATGGAGTTTTGAACGAAGAGCAACAAAATATTGCGCAGATCGCCCTAAATGTAGAACCAAGTGTAATTAGAAATAAGCTAAAATGTTATTTTCTATCGGAACAAGGTCAGCTTCCGTAGCAATATCAAATATAATGTTTGAAAGAAATAAAATGTGATTATTCAAATAATTGTTTTATTTAGGAATCTGAAACACTTATCAATAATTTTAAGCTTTTAATAAAATAAAATAATTCAACCGAAAATATAAACATTTATTTTAATCTATTACACTATTTTCGGTTAAATTATTTTCCAAGACTAGTAACAGACTGTCACTTGTGTTGACATCTGGGCTGTTTTGCATTTCATAGTCTGATTGAACAGAGTAAGAGCGCGAAGTTGAGGGCGACGGTGACATTGCTGACGTTGTAGGTTGGCCTGTGAAGTATTTTGGACGAACATTAACGAAGAGGCTGAGTAGTATTATTGGTCCTATCAAAATACATCGAACCCATTCTCATTTCTGCTTCATAGACAATAGTCTGGATTTGATGTTGTACTGTACACATCGTGTAACGATCCATCTTCCTCAACTTGCTACTTATATAGTCTGCAAATATAGCAGCATCATCGGGTTGCCTTGCATCAGATGTAATCTCCCTCAGTAATTGCAAAGCTTCATCAACTTCAGGATCTCTCTCTATATTTCGTTTTCGTGAAGTCCTTGTCGAAGGTAGCGTAGTCTGGGGAGTGATATTATCTTGAGAAGAACTGACTGAAAATAAAAAGGAAATCTTATAATTAATTACAAACAAGCTTAACATCTACGGCGAATGCATGTCTTTTCGTAACTCGCACCGCGCATTATTGTTTTAGTTTTATCGATGTTAATAAACATAAAAGTAGTGTTTAAATGATAGGTTTATCTTAACCTGCCCTAACACAGTACAGTAGGTAGTAGGTATCTAATATTAATACGCGAGGCAAAAACTTTGTACCCCTATTTACGAAAATATTACTTATTGAAATAATGTATTTTAAATTAATTATGGTCGATTTTCGACCAATGGGCGACCAACTAGATACTTAATTATAAGAATTTGATGGGTACGTACTTTAGATGTGTGGCTGTTCAGAGTCGGTACCGGTGCATTCTTGTTATTAAGAAATGATAACGCCTTATAAGCAAACCATTTCGGCAATTGAACATCTTCCCGTCCAGATCCACTCCTTTTAGATTCTTCATATTTGCGTTTTTCTCGAAAATAATGGCTGGATAAATTCTTCAGTTTTCTCTCAATTTCTGATGATGCTATGTTGAACACAAAAGCAATATCTCTAAAAGCATCATTTCTTTTGTTGCGATTTTTGAAATCCATATGCCTTGGGTTCCACAATAGTTCATTTTCTTGATACTTTTCTATTAGTAAAAGTACTGCACTATCATCCCAGTTAAATTCTGTCATTTCGTTGTTTAAGTATATGAAATTAAGTTATTCACGAATACTACAACACTATCATCCGTATCGAAGCCGCAAGCAAACTGCCGCCGGCAACCAAAAGCCGCGCGTGCCGCAGGGGATGGCCGGCGGCCCGGACGCCGGGTCGGCAGCCGGCCGTGCCGCTGGGCATGTGTGGATGCACCATTAGAGAATTCATTCATCTCATTTAATTTCATAGGTGATGGCAATAGAAAATTCTAGAAGGGTATCATATTAGAGCATTTCACAATTTTTGTAAATTAGGCATCTCTCAATAAGCATGAGGTATTTGACGTCCTCATGTCATAGCACGGAGTACCTTTACTTTTTAATTATTTATAATAATCAAAAGTACGCAGAATGAATTTACTACATATCACAGTGGTACAAGTCTTGCAGTTGTAGAAGACTGCATAAAGCCAAGTAGAATTAGATTTTAGTATAGCAAATCAGGTTCAAAACCGAAAACAAACATTATAGAAATTTTGCATAAAATATATAAGTATAAATAGCATGTATGAGTATGAAGCGCGGTTTGGGTGGGGGTGTGGTGGCGTGAGGCGCACCTGGTTCATGTCGTGGCGGTTGTTGACGATGAAGGTGAGTATGACGCGTGGTGTGGGGGTGTGGTGGCGTGAGGCGCACCTGGTTCATGTCGTGGCGGTTGTTGACGATGAAGGTGAGTATGACGCGTGGTGTGGGGGTGTGGTGGCGTGAGGCGCACCTGGCTCATGTCGTGGCGGTTGTTGACGATGAAGGTGAGTAGGACGCGTGGTGTGTGGGTGTGGTGGCGTGAGGCGCACCTGGTTCATGTCGTGGCGGTTGTTGACGATGAATGTGAGTATGACGCGTTGTGTGGGGGTGTGGTGGCGTGAGGCGCACCTGGTTCATGTCGTGGCGGTTGTTGACGATGAAGGTGAGTATGACGCGTGGTGTGGGGGTGTGGTGGCGTGAGGCGCACCTGGTTCATGTCGTGGCGGTTGTTGACGATGAAGGTGAGTATGACGCGTGGTGTGGTGGTGTGGTGGCGTGAGGCGCACCTGGTTCATGTCGTGGCGGTTGTTGACGATGAAGGTGAGTATGACGCGTGGTGTGGGGGTGTGGTGGCGTGAGGCGCACCTGGTTCATGTCGTGGCGGTTGTTGACGATGAAGGTGAGTATGACGCGGGGTGTGGGGGTGTGGTGGCGTGAGGCGCACCTGGTTCATGTCGTGGCGGTTGTTGACGATGAAGGTGAGTATGGCGCGTGGTGTGGGGGTGTCGTGGCGTGGGGCGCACCTGGTTCATGTCGTGGCGGTTGTTGACGATAAAGGTGAGTATGACGCGTGGTGTGGGGGTGTGGTGGCGTGAGGCGCACCTGGTTCATGTCGTGGCGGTTGTTGACGATGAAGGTGAGTATGACGCGTGGTGTGGGGGTGTGGTGGCGTGGGGCGCACCTGGTTCATGTCGTGGCGGTTGTTGACGATGAAGGTGAGTATGGCGCGTGGTGTGGAGGCGTCGTGGCGTGGGGCGCACCTGGTTCTTGTGGTGGCGGTTGTTAACGATGAAGGTGAGTATGACGCGTGGTGTGGGGGTGTGATGGCGTGGGGCGCACCTGGTTTATGTCGTGGCGGTTGTTGACGATGAAGGTGAGTATGACGCGTGGTGTGGGGGTGTCGTGGCGTGGGGCGCACCTGGTTCTTGTGGTGGCGGTTGTTAACGATGAAGGTGAGTATGACGCGTGGTGTGGGGGTGTGGGGTGGGGCGGGCGCACCTGGTTCATGTCGTGGCGGTTGTTGACGATGAAGGTGAGTATGACGCGTGGTGTGGGGGTGTGATGGGGTGGGGCGCACCTGGTTCTTGTCGTGGCGGTTGTTGACGATGAAGGTGACTATGAGCGCGGTGGCGCGGTGGAAGCGCGCGGCGGGTGTCAGCGGCTCGCCGGGCGCCAAGAAGCCGCCCAGCGCCACCCCCGGCAGCACCGGCCCGCCGTACGGCGCCAAACACGTGTACGGGTTGCTGTATCGGCACACCAACACGTATTGGTATTATTTAAATACTTACTGATACAGAATCCACTACCCCATATTGTCCCATGAATGTCGTAAGATGCAATAGAGGGGAAATTTTACGGATGGACAGCGGCAATACAAATCAGACAAGGCTCAATGAATTAAGGCCTTTGTCTGCCTTATTAGACGAATCGTAACATAATATGTAGCAAATATTCATGTGTACATATGTTAAGCAGTGGACTATTGATAAGCTGTAATGGATAAATGAATGAAAAATGAAATCATCATCTTTAAACCTTACGTAGCCTTCACGTACTATCAAGTGAACTATGCTCATTATTCACTCTTCCATTATACTTTTTATCAACATTATACATATTATACTACAGTGCATTTATGTGAAAGCGCGGGCAGTCAGCATTTACACGCTGACCTAAATTACTTGGATTTAATATCGCAATAGCTAATAACACAGTTCACGATCAATCATCAACAACAACCCGTGCTCATACCAATAACCATCAGCATATTACCAATGATTCTAATATATTATGTTAGCGCAATTACTTCCGTGTTTTATTAATTGTACCGGTTAGTTTGTTGGACTTACACCCAACAAATTTGGTCTTTCGAGCCAGATACAAATAGAACGATTCTACACAAAATAACGATTAATAACAAAAGTGAATATACAGAGCAGACATGTGGATTAAAGAAAATACTCCCTTTTACAGAGAAAGTTCATGTCCAACAGTAAACTTTTACCAACTGTGGAAAAAATCGATCAACTTGTGACCATCAAAATTTAAGTCCCGAGACAAATAATACTTTAAAAAGCTCTACTACCAAACATTGCCTATAAGGCTCAGCGTGAGAAGTATGATTGTAAAACACCAACCTGGAGCAGGACAGCACTTTATCCAGGTACTCGTTGTTTTCCAGCGTGTCGTTGAACTCCTCCTCGTCGTTTTCCCACCAGCCCCACACGGACTGCACGACACACTTGTCCGCGGTGACGGGGCCCGTGAATGAGGACGTCAATGGCGCGAAACAAATATCTTGGATTTTTGTCTCGTTGCCGAGGGCTGCGGAAGAATATAAATTTTATTACCTTTTGTACCAGTGTCGTGATAATTATTAGAAATAGGAATGGATTTTTATGCAATATAGATAAATAATTAATATTTCTTAAGTAATTTTTTAATTTACCAAAGTGAAGTATACTGAAAACTTGACTCCTCCCAAAATAATTAATTAAAATCGCCATGTCTGTCGAATAAGTTGATGATGAAGTAAACTAGATTTATGAAATATTTCACACGAGATGGGTTGAAGTTCCTCGTTACGTATTATTATTTCTTCTTTCTCTTCAATCCGTAAAAGTCCACAGTTCTCTTTTTATTATAGGATAAGGGTGACAGACGAGCACACAGTTCACACAGCATACAGGCCTCGATTGCGAATCAAAATGAAGATGGGTTGTCATCCATAAGGAGTATGGTAAGATGGAATCCCTCATTTCCAGTAAAAAGTGTCTCCGGTTCTCTACACTCACCGTATGAAGCACAGCAGCGTTAAGCTGTTATTTTATGCTGGTATTTTGTGAGAGCGTGGTCCTTCCCAGGTCGAGAGAACCCATTCGTGCTACAACTATACTACTAGTATAGCTGCAGAATGGCTCTACCGCGTAAAATATCTGTCTGTTTTCTGTGACATCAGTGTTTGTTATCTTGCTATTGGGCTCGTATATCCTAAATATAATATACAAATATTTCAATTTTTATTTTCATTTTTATATATTAGTGTTGTATATGAATCTAGTCACTACAAAGTGTACAAATTCAAATGCAGTTTCATCAAGCCTGATGTACCTAAGTAACCACAGATGATAAAAACCTAAAACTAGTTTCAAAAGAAGACTCAAACTTATGAATGAATGGGGTCTCCGGTTTCCGTTACCATACACAACACAGCAACATAATGCTATGATGACTTTCGTTGATATTCCTTTCGAGCGTAGTCCTTCACTGGTTAAATCAAACCATTCCTGTTCTAATTATGACACACCTGTTGCATACCACGTAAAAAGTAACTAATTTAACAAAACTCGGGCAAGGATTTAGACAAACGCTTGGAGTATATTTGTTTTCAAAGAATTCGAAATACTCACCCATGATCCGGTTCTGCAGATCCAGCACCTTCAACATGAAGGTGGCATTGAAGACTGGTCCGAAATTAATGGTGCCTGAGGGCGTGTCGTGCTCGATCTCGGGCAAGCCTTTGGAACTGATGATGAGCATTTCGGTGCGGTAGAAGGGCTCAAAGTGAGAGTCGAAGTAATTGCGTTCCACGCGTGAGCGTGAGTGAGGCGCCGCCCACAGCTCCACCGGGTTAGTCGTCACCTGCATGTACTTGATGCCGTGTCCCAGACCCACCACCAGGCATAGACCTGTGGACAACACCATCATATTTAAATTGCGCTCTTAACATTATCAAAGTCAAACTTTTTTATTCAGTGTAGTCTTGTTTGAAGCTCAAAATGTACACCCGTACAGAAAACAAGGCCTTCTCGAGAAGAACCAGTAAGAAACTCAGTAGTCTTTTAATTGCTTTGTTACAATTTTATTTACAATAAAATAGGATGATAATGAAATAAAATAAAACAGGGTTGTTCAAAGAGCGAACCACTCGAGGCTCGTCAGTTATTTGTTAGAAGTTCGCAGAAAGATTTACGTTATTGCTGCTGATTAGCTAGCTCAAGCGTTGCTACACGCATGTAGTATGGTGATGCACGCCACTTGTATGACTGTACTCTGCGGTGCACGCACGCCCTTCGAACACTGCGTTTGCTTGCGGCTGCAACGCGCTATAATTTTAATCTACAGGGTCTTTTTCACTACACTAAATAAAAACTTATTTCTTTGCGAGTTCATATTTGAACAAAAAAGAACTTATTTTTGTGTGTTAAAATTCAATAGGTAAACGTATGAAAAAAGAAAAGTTGCAATTGTAATGGAAGGAAAACCTAGATAACTATTCAATTTGAAAATGCACCCTAACTTACCTCCCATTACACAAGCGTTACAATTGATTTGACATTTTACAATTGCGATAGTAATTGTACTTGGTGAAACTATAATACCTTTTGGACAGTTAAAAGCTTCGTTTAGGAATTGTGAGCTCGACACGACTGTACAGCGGCCAGGAGGACTATTCATGTCACTAAAGCAGGCTTATTTTTTAAAATACTACTGCACTGCAAGGGGTTCAATCAAAGTAGCCGTTAATAATTAGCCATGTCAGACATAACATTGACACTCAATCAATTAGTTTTTATATTGCATATTAGCAAACACTTTTACCGCTAATGCGAATTTTAGTTATTCGATTAGGACACACCAAAGTCACATTTTTGTAATTTACAAACATTCAATGTAAATCAAATCAAGGGGCTCCGAAGAAAAAGTGCCGTAAATACTAAAGATAATTAATTATACTGAAAATGAAAAATATGCAACTGAAAGAGAGCTATACTGATAATTAATACTTAATTTAACTAAGCAATAACCCAAAATTATAAGCAAGAACGTTATATTTTAAAGAACAATTATTTTTGTATGTGATATATCTATGAACTATCACTTAGACCACTTATGCGATGCTTATTTAAAGACACAAGTATGTAAAATATAGGCAATCTCAAAGCTAATCAATTCAGTAAACATTTTTTGTTACTTACCGAAGAACAGTACAAGCCAAGGCCGAGACGCCATGTGACAGCCCCACCACTGGAAGAAGTCCTCCATTTTAGTCTCCGTCTCAGCGCCGAGTCTCTCGAAGAAGGTGGCCTCCCCGGCGCCGTCCGTTTGTTCCACCGTCCAACCGATGGCTGTCGGGTTGGTGGCCATCTCTTGGTTTGTGTCCGAAGCTACACCTGACACAACGCGTTATTTGTAGCATTTTTTACTTTTAATAACATACAACAATAGACTAATAACTGTACCTATGTAACATTTTAAACTAGCTTAAGTAACAAACAGCCTGTCAACGTTCCAGTTTATGGCACACGCCTCCCACTCATTCACATAAAATTCAAAATTAAGTACTTTTAAATCTGACTATAGTTTTTAACGAAAGTAATTTTTCGGACTTTATCGCAATTTATCCAACGGAAGGGTCATCGTAACTGAGATTGTTAGCGCTCGATGTTAAAGTTCACGGTACTCGAGCAACCCGGGTTCAATCCAATTTTATTGGTTCCGGCGGGGGACGACACCAAATAAAAGTGTTAATTGCAATTTTAAGTGCTGATTTACGACGTGCTCGGTCGTCAAGGAAAACATCATGAGAAAACCTGTATGTCTGAGAAATAAGAAACAAAAATATTTCGAAGACACGTGAAGTTCGTCAACACGCATCGGGGTAGCGCGGCGAACATTTCTTTGCCCTAAAACCCTCTCAGAAATAAGAGGAGACCTGTGCCCAGCAGAAGGATCTATATAAGCTTTAACTTTAAGTTTACAAAAATTTTTCTCCAACGGAAGTATTTAAGATTTAACGATTTTAAACTTGAGTTACTTTTTAACTTTTATTTATAGGGTAAAATTTGAAAACGAATTAGAAAGAACGCGATAAAATCCACAAAATTAGGTTCATTTAATGTGCAATTCCGGGAAATATAAGCAAACTAATGCTAGTAAATTCTATTTAAATATTTTCATGTATTAACCAAGTAGCAGATAAGGTACACCACATTTTAGGCCTATAACGTCCGGCAAACCACTTAAAAAAATAACAAAATACTTTTTCTAATTTTTTTACCCTTTTGACTAAACTAAGGAACATCTCAATCTTAGTGTCGCCAAAATAGGTACATTAAAAATGTTAACCCGTGCGGGTTTGCCACCCTTAGGGTGGAATATTGTCTCCAAATTTGTATAGGACTACCTTTGGATTGAATGATCTACAGACTACCTGAAGTAAACCCTATTAAATAAAGAAAGAATCATACACAATTAAAATTAATATTTGCAATATTTTATACATTTCCATAGAGAACATGAAACCATTACGGTAGTTATATGGTCATCATTATCATGATTATCATTACAGCCCATATCAAACTCGCTTAAGAAATATTCCAAAGCACGGTCCTGATCCACTCTGAATCAGACTTTCTGCATCTCATATCAGTTATTGCTCCATCTAGTAATGGGCCTACTTCGCTGTCGAGAACTTTTCTACATGGCCGTCCATTGCCACTTCAGCATACCGATCCATTTTAGCTTTGTCAGTTACTCTGTGTTTACTACGGATATCTTCAATACGAAATCTATCATGCATAAATACCAACATTAAAACCAATTATTTATAGGACACTCACTAACACATTGGCTGGGTTTTGTACCAATAAATCTAGTACACAAAAAATCACCCAATTTACTGCATATATGCGTACATTCACTACGTGTAATGTATATATGTATCTATGTGCTATGTACCTATGTACATAACACGTAGTGCACACTGTTTACGATGGATAAAAGCATTGAGATCACGCACAAAACATTTCACTCACTTTTAAATGCACATAGAAACGCACACACTGCGTATTACAATCAGTACAGGCTACAGATAAGTGTGAGGTTCCTTATGAGTTTTCTTTGTGTAATTTGGACAGACTTATGAAATAAAAAATGTTAGATGTTGTCAGTGAATTTATTTTAAAGTAAATGCCACAGATTGAAATCACACCTACACAGTATAAACGAAATTAAAAACAATCGAAGACTCTATATTCTGGTAGAACCGATTGTATAGTTGCTTTTGTAGGAAATAGCTACATTTATTAATTTATCATGTTAGAGTGGATCTAAGTCTACATATATACCATGCAAAAAAAGGTTACTAAGCAATAATCACAACAAAATGTTAAACACAGCATGCAGGAATAACTTCAACTCATAAATAAATATTTTCCATAGGTGTGTATATAACATTCAAACTATGTGTGTATAATGTATTTTTCTCAGTGAATGATGTACTTATTTACAAGATTTTAGCCTCACATTATATGTATTAAGGCTTAATAGAAAAAGTATTTATCTGCCCTTTTTAATATTTTATGTGATATTTTTTAAGTATTGTTTTACACATGTATATTTATTACTCGAACTACCTCCATAAATTCGAGAGGATGTAAGAAACAATTATAACTTAATGACAACTTGGTGTATCCAATTATTATATAATTAAAGATCCGAATGAGAAGTAATACATTTTGATCGTTGAGAAATATAATTGCATTTTATCGAGCAGGTTTGGCTCCATTTATACACATTTTACAGGTAAATAATATAATTTTAATTTGCTACTTTAGCAGTATCTCAAAAATTTGTTAAATTTAGTTTAAGTTTAACGAATTTTTTATTTTTGTTAAATATACAATGAGGCGTTTTACTACAAATGACGTCATCTATAACTGCTATTCCCATAAAATAATAACTAATTTTTAAAAAAGTTCGATTGCCTGCAAAAATTTTATAACACAGAAAATGAGGTAGCGCAGATGATGTATAGCAATGTAATTTAAGCCTTATCGCGTGCGGTGCAAGGTGTAGTATGGTGTGTGCGGTGCATACGTACTAGATCGGTGGCTGTGCAGCGGACTGGTCTCGGGCCCGCCGCCCCGGCGCGCCTCCGCGCCCCGCGCCCACCCGTCTGTCCCCAAGCACCGCGTTACAACTTTCAAGTAAGAACCCTTCACTTCGTACCTACTGTGTTGCCTAACGCTCTTCTTTACAAATCCACCTTATTGCTAATGTATTAAACTACTGCATACCCGTTCCTAATTTGAATATTTACGACAGAAATACATTGTTTGTGTAATCCTACTTTTATGTTTCCTTTAAATTATTTCAAGGTTTGAAACTTGTTTGAATAAAGTTGCGGCTTTTGCCATAATAAGCTTTTAAAGCTCGTCTATTTTTGTTATTGAAAACTTGGAAGCTTAAAGAATATTAATAACACTATTAAAGAAAATATGGTTATGGATATTATAGGAAACGTAAACAGTTGGCAATCGTAAATCGAATAATGAAATGTAAAATTTGACTAATGCAGCAATTTTTTTTAAATATTATGAAACAAATGTAAACTGAATAAGACAATAAGATGGATTTTATAGATTTACTCTGTAAGTTTTATAAAATAATATACTAAACAATGAATTTCCATGCAATATAGTTACATTGTTAGATTAATATTTAGTATACAGTAAGAATTTGTTGACATATATTAACTTATATGTTAAAAAAAAACTTAATATACATAGAGAAACAAAGAAATAAAAACATTATAGTGCATGGCAACCCATGACCGACACCTTACAAGTGGAAACACCACCACGCACAAGTCTACTTTTATGTATTATATACAAATTATTTTAAAATTGCTAAAATCCATTAGTCCGTCACCAAACTAAAGACAATATATGGGTTTAACCTTGTGCGTAATTTTAGAATGGACCAATATTACACTGGTAGCGAATATTTTGACATTGAATTGTCTATTTCCTTATTAATTTGAAGATTTCTTGTGTTAATGTAATATGTCAGAAAACGAAGTATTTTTCCTTATAAGCTTCTTCAAACCCTAATTAAATTTGAAATGCGCAATTATTTATTTTATAAGTTTAGTAATTACGCGAACACGACTCACATTGATAATACGAATGTGGTCTCTCCTACATAGGACAAAATAAAAGATCAATTAAAACCCGCGTTAAAGAACATATAGCTGATGTGAAGAATCGACGCTCCGGGAAGTCTGCAATCTGTGAACACGTACAGGATCACCCCCGTCACTACATCAGATTTGATAGACTGCAAATCCTCGCTAAAGAACACCGATTCCTTCCAAGGATGATTCGCGAGACTATTGAAATCAAAAAATATCCTAATTTCAATAGAGAAGGTGGCTGGGTGCTACCATCTGCTTGGGATCCTATAATAAATAAAATTAAATCCCAACCCAAGCATACAACTGCAAGACTTCAAGATACCATAAGTTCATACTGTATAGATCGGAACAAAAGTTAAATTTTAATCTATGGTAACCGCGGTTAACTATGACATATGGACGTTGAACATCTCAATCCCGCCCGTGACCATGAGTGCTGTAAAGCGTTCGAAACGTCGGGTATTTAAAAAGTTAAATATACGCGATAAATTCCGTAAAAACTAGTATTATTTCAATGCGCAATTATTTATTTTATAAGTTTAGTAATTACGATACGACTAGCGACTGTATAAACGAAAACACGTAAACATAATATAAGAAGACAGGTTTCCATCTCTATTCTTCTGTATAATCTACACATGATTATGTGATATAAATAGTCTTGTTAAAATTATTATATCATAGAAGGCTTATATTTATAAAGATATCATCACAATTAAGGTATTCACACATAAGTTGTCATGTTTTTAAAATAACCTTAAGAAACCATATTATACATAGGAAATTAAAGATAATGGAGTTGTTACGTGAAACAGAATATTTGTAATTTTACAAGAGGTACTGCAGCTTATTAATTTCATACATACATACATAAGCACTCACGCCTGTTGTCACCCAGAGGGGTAGGCAGAGACTACAGACTTCCATTTGGCACGATCCTGACACACCTCTCTCGCCTCCTTCACATCCATATACCTACGCATACATGCTCGTCGGTTAAGGGTACTCCTAATTTGGCCCGTTTTCAATAAATCGCCAATTTGGTCGATAAATTGACGATTAATTTCACAAGTATGTAATATTGGTCCATTACTTTTTATGTTACAAACAATGAATTCTCGTCGATTGAAAATAGTCAATACATTCCTTCGCCGACTTCTGATCAATTTAAATCACCTTTGTCATATAAAAAGTATTTGTAAATAAAATTTAGTATGACATCTAAATATAAAAACTTGTGTAGAAAATATGCATAATATATATGTAGCAAAAATAATACGTTATTTTGGGTGTTAATAAAGGGATATGGTATATTCAGATAAAATATTAAAATATAAAGCTTAATACGTATAAGTTTATGTGTATTTAAAAATACTTTACGAACCGGGTAGACTTGCACAAGATGGCATTACCAATAGAACAATTATTATAATCTTAATATTAAGTATGTTAAAATTATTAAATTTGCTATATACAATGTGTCCGGTTACCGGTGTCGGAGCTTTTAATGCTATAAAATATAATCAATTTCATCGACAAATCATGTCTCAAATCTCATTTAGACCTAGCTGTATTTAAACGGTAGCCATTTAAATTTTTTAGTGTCACCACCTCGACCCCGCGCATTAAAATTACAATATTCACCGATGTAGAAGTCCTACATCCTTAAAAGATGTCTCATTGGATAGATAAAGACACGCGTAATAAAATAAAAGCAAACTTTTAACTGCAAAATTGTATTTAGATCCTAAAAAAAACTTCGTGTAAAAAAAATCGGTTATTTTTTCACATTTTCGACTTTAATGAAAAAAGTAATTCATTTACCTAATGATTTTTTACATTAATCAGATAGATCAGAACATATCCTAACCAAAAACATAATTGTAAATTAAATAGTTTAAGAATTGTACTTTATCAAACACGACCTCTTAAAAGCGCAAGCTGCACGTGCAGGATCATTTATGATAGTTCAAGAGCAGGTAGAAAAACCCAAAGCCCATTGTTTGATGTTCTAAACAAGTGTACTTGGGATTGGGACAACAAAAACAGTCGTCCCTCGCCACGCGTTGTGATTACACTACTTTTGCCCCTCTAAGATCGCTTGTTGTTACTATTGTTAAAAAAATTCCGTTTTGTGAAACTTTTTAAGTTTGTGGTGAAGTTTCTAGTTATTTTAATATTTTCAAAAATGGCAGATGGTGAATACTCAAACCAGCATGTCGCTGATATCCACTTTGTGTATGGATTGTGCAACGGCAACGCAAACAGAGCTGTCACAGAGTACGCTAGAATGTTTCCCAACAGGCCTACACCAAATGCTCGCACTTTTGTAAGGATACATTTGCGGATAGCTGAACTTGGGATCAGAAGACCCGCTAATGAAAGATTTCGGCTTGTGGCACCTGAGGAGGAAGAAGAGATATTACGTTTAATTACACAAGATCCCAGACTCGGTGTAAGACGAATAAGCAATATGCTTAATTTAACAAAATGGTCAGTGTGGAGAGTTTTAAAGAGGGAAGGTTTGCATCCTTACCATTTTCGGCGGGTACAAGACATTCGCGAACCTGATTATGCTATAAGGACAGTTTTTTGTTCGTGGATCAATAGAAGAACAAGACAAGATGCAGATTTTTTAAAAAGAATTTTGTGGACTGACGAAGCCACTTTCACGAGATCGGGTTATACAAATCACCGTAACGAGCATCTGTGGCTTCAAAACAACCCTCATGCTGTTAGAGAAAGTACTTTCCAACATCGAGTGAACGTTTGGGCTGGAATAAAAGACGATATTTTAATTGGGCCGATAATTTTACCAGAAACTATGAATAGCCCAAGATTTTTAGAGTTTTTGAACACATTTTTCGGAAGAATTAATGGAGCTTCCATTAACTCACAGAGCAAGGATGATTCTCCAACTTGACGGTGCACCTGCACATTTTACAGTAAATGTGCCAAATTATTTAAATGAGCGCTATTCGCCGTGGATTGGTCGCGGTGGAAGGATCGCTTGGCCTCAGCGTTCACCGGATTTAACTCCCTTATACTTTTTTCTACGGGGCACTATGAAGCAAAGAGTTTATGCGAATGTGCCAAACTCACGAGAAGAGTTGATTAATAAAATAATCGAAGTTGGAAATGAATTGCGACAAGATCGGGAGATGATCAGACGTGCAACTCAACATGTGGCAATAAGGGCTACAACATGTCTCCAACATCGCGGAGGTCATTTCAAACAGTTTTTATAAATAAGTTTTTAGTTACGTGCATTTTGAAATGTTGTGTTTCACTCTTCTCATCAATTCACTTTGTCTGTCTGCAACCAGGGCAACAAATTTTTCAAAGGTCATATTCAAACAGTTATAATACAGATTTTTTTTTTGGTTACAATTAAGATTTTTATGTTTTTGATTAGGATATGTCCTGATCTATCTGATTAATGTAAAAATCATTAGGTAAATGACTTACTTTTTTCATTAAAGTCGAAAATGTGAAAAAATAACTGATTTTTTTTCACATTTTTTTTCTTTTTTAAGTCTTTTTAGGATCTAAATACAATTTTGCAGTTAAAAGTTTGCTTTTATTTTATTACGCGTATCTTTATCTATCCAATGAGACATCTTTTAAGAATGTAGGACTTCTACATCGGTGAATATTGTAATTTTAATGCGCGGGGTCGAGGTGGTGACACTAAAAAATTTAAATGGCTGCCATTTAAATACAGCTAGTTCTAAAAGAGATTTGAGACATGATTTGTCGATGAAATTGATTATATTTTATAGCATTATAAGCTCCGACACCGGTAATCGGACACACTGTATAATTTATTTGTCTAGTGAGTATCATTTAATAAATATATATTGTCAGAAACGTTTAAATAGAGTTTAATAATTGTTTTTGATCAGATTTAATTTAATATTATGTAAAATATTTAATATTACTGTAACAATTTGTTATTAAAATTATGTAAAACACATATTTTCGTAAACGTTCGCATCCATTGCTTTAACGTACATGCTTTTTACGCAGTGCCAAGAGTATACACATTTTTGTCAGCTTTCAATGCTATTTATATTCCTCTCAATTACTCAAAGTTTTAGATTTATTATATACGACATTTTAGATGATCATCGCAACTGTTGTTTGGACGTGAAAGAAAATTTTTGTTGTGATAACCAACACAGTATAAAACTGTCGACTATTAGGACCGGCGTACATTTCGCTTAAAAGGATTGTCACTCGATAAAAAATTTTCAATATTGCCGATATTCATTTCTATATAAACCCGGAATGTCTATTGTAGGAGGCAGTATTTTTCGTAGTCGCCACGTTTGGTAGACGGATTGGTGATTCCAGTATCAGACGTCTCGCACTTTGACGTAAGTCCTAGTGCCGGTTCCGAGCATTGTATTAACGTGAACGAAGTGGTTGAAACCATCTAATAAGATCATAATCTTTCTGAAAATCCTACAATCATTCCCTGAGACGTTCACGACGACGTGCGTGACTCACCCACGATGTTCTCGCGCTGGTTGCAGCAGAAGACGCCGCCGAGGAAGAGCGTGGTGAAGATGAGGAAGACGATGGCCATGACGACCGCGTAGCCGTCGGCGCCGTGGATGCTGAAGGGGCGCGGCGGCGGTGGGCGCGGCGGCGGCGCGGGGCACGACGCCGCGCAGTCCAGGCACGAGCAGCCCGGCGAGCCCTGCCGCGCCGCACACATACATTATAGCTGCTCGGTGAGCCAAACGTCTTAAAAGCTCTTTGTTACATGCTAGAGCCATCTATTCCATTACAGCCTATAAAAGTCCACTGCTGAACACGGAATTCCCTCATAGATTAATTACGTCATGGCGGGATTTTGCCACCGTTGCCACGCTTGGCAATCGGGTTGGCAACCGCAGTTCTTTTTTATTATTTTATTTATATTTTTATTTTAATTGTCCATCTGTCACCTTTTATGACACCTCTGTAGAGCCATGCTACTACTATGTTATGATTGTAGCCCCGATTGAAACACTTGACTGTCTTGTAGGTCTAGTGGTCGTAAATACGATTGCTGATTATGAGGTCCTGAGTTCAAACCCCGGGTCGGACCAAAATTAGTAATTTGATTATCCTGACAAGAAGTTTTTAGTAACAAACCGCAGCCAGGAATTTGGCAGTGTTTAAACCCCGTGCCATGGAAAACATATAAAGCCGTAGGTCCTCCCACCCCCAAGAGTCGAATCAATCAATTGAGAGTGTGGGAATAGATAGTGATATATACTATTAGGTACTACTCTCACTTGAGACTAGCCGCCGTGACCAAAACTCAGCTCGGCCGGACAAGGACCACGCTCTTACTAAATACCAGCGTCAAATACTTTGTATGGGTGAATGTAGAGAAGCGGAGACCATTTTTCATAGAAACAAAGTATTCCATTTTAGTCCTCAGACATAGATGTAGATGTCCATGGACCACAGCATGCACTTAACTCTCAATCTCTCTAATCATTATTCTATAAAATAGAACCACACTCTAAGTACCAGACTCCCTCACAGTTCTAGTGGTCTTTAGCGAAACGGCAGACCATATGGTCTCGAGTTCTAATCCGGTCTAGATTAAAGCAGATAGTCTGTATATTCGTTTACCACCGCAAACTGTATTAAAATATAACATTGATAAACAAATTAACTGTCCCCGTAATAACCAGAAAAAGACCATAGGGACGTTGTCTTCATTGACTACTATGATATCTGTCAGCCTAAATAAGAGAACAGAAAAAATAACAAAACGGTTAAATTAAGTTAAAATTACTATAACTCTAAACGACTTCTCAATTTCATGTTTCATATTTTTTTTTTGAATTTAGAAATTTTAAATATAGGAATGGACTGCCGCCCGTTGGTCTGTGCGTTTCGTCGCGTCGATGAGCTTAATAAAAATGTAAGCAATAGATTGAGATATACAATATGTAACATATTTAACGCACACCCTCAGACACCCCAATTAGTATATTATGTTATAATCATTAATACATACACTGAATTTTTAGTTAAACATTTTTATGCACTGATTATCAAATTAGTTATACTAATTCCGGAAGAATGTTGTGGTCACAGTACAAATCTACGAACGCAAAGACTTTAACATGCTTGAAATAAAGTTCATTTTTCTTTATTTTTATTGAATGACAGAATTAGTAATAATACAAATAAAACTGCACTCTTAAGTCTTATTGCCTTAAGTTCAGTCCATTTCAGTTTATTTTGACTGTACAGATTTAGTGTGACTGTAATTTACGTAGTTTTAATTATTTTTGGGATAAAAAATTACCTATACTAAAAATGATTGGAATCGATTCAGTAAACGATTCTGAACAAACTACTTTCTCAAAGTGATTTAATTATGTTACGTGTTGTATATTATTAAATAAAATTCCATATACTCTAAGATGGATGGATCTCTACTGACTTTTGGTATTGAAGTCAACACCGTTTAAAAGTTAATGCAAAATTAAATTAAAACTGCAAATCTTTGATACAACATATATAATTAAATTTCATTGACGGTACCTTGATACCAACGTTGCAGGGCCTGGTGGGTGGAGAGTAGGGAGTGAAGCCGTCGGCGGGCTGGTCTCCCGAGATGTAGTTGATCTGGAATGGCACGAAGGCGCCCGACGCGTCGCCCATGAAGTCGAACCAGCGCTGCGGTGTGCAGTACGCGGCGCCCCACTGCCCGCACATCATGTCCAGCGCCAGCTGGTTGCTCGACGGCATTTGGACCTGCCCAAGTCAATGTTTGAGCTGAAATAGGTTGTTTCGATCCAATGTAATATGGATGAAAAGAATGTTCTTCGAGCTATATGACCGGCCCATTTCCAATTTAGATCCGTTAGGATATGTTAGTTACTCTCGTTCTACTGGGGACATGCTCCTTAGAAGATATTACACAGAAAATAGTTGTGAGGAGTAGTATACGTGAGAAGACGGTCGTAATCTTCCAAACGCTACCCAGCCTAGTTGGATCTGTCGCGGGTATAGGTATATGGAGCATTGAGATCGCATAACCTTCCTTTAAATTATTGCTCATAGGTGAGATATTTGCCATAGTTGCCACGCTTAGCAGGCGTGTTGGCAACTGCAGTTTTTTTCGTTGATATTAAGACGACGCTGGTGCCCGCCTCCTAGTTTGTTTTCCTTTGTCGCCTCTTATGACGATATGGGGTAGTAGATATTCTTACACCGCCACTATATGGTCAACACGACACAGATAGGAGTACGATAAAATAATGCTTGATTCTTCTATAATTAGGTTTAGCAATTTAATTAATAAAAACCTATAACATTAAAAACCATCCAAAGCTGACAATACATTTTTAAACAACACCGAAAATCGATTTTCCTGTACAATGGATATATATTTTATGGTGGGATAGTGCAGATATAGTTGTATTTTGTATCCAAGTTAAAACAAACATAACGTCATCTTCCATTCCAAAAAATAGTTAAATTACCTGACGGCATGAGTCGAAGGTATTATTCATATACGTGGTGCTGAGATGATAGTCCAGCTCTTCTATCTGCTGGTTTGTGGCTGAAAAAGAAAACAGAAATTGCATTGCAAACAGCATCACTTACGAAATACTGTATAATTAATTGTAATCACTTCAATTTGTTTTTATATAAAACTGGAATATAAAACCGAAATTACAGTCCACCTGACAGTTAGTGGCCCCTGCAATCTTGAAACAAGGGAAGCTGCAGATGCGTTGTCACCTCTGAGGACTAACATGTAATGCCTTAAGGGGGAATATAACCTCAAATGGCTTAACAAGACCCTCCGTTATGCCGAAAATATTGCAGCATTAATTTTGAAATAACAAAAAAATCCAGTTACTCCACACAAAAACGCGTCCATAAAAAAAAAAAGAAAAAAAAGCATAAAAAAAAAGGCGTCCTGAAGCTTGTCTCCTGCCGCCCGGTTCCAAGCTTCAGGACGCCAATATTTTAGGTAATTTCTTTTTATTTATTTAAGGTTATATTATTATATATTCATTTGAGGTTATATTTCCCCTTAAAGCCTATGATAATATTGGCTCCCTATATCTCCTATACGTTAACCACCTAGACCAACTTCTACGTAGAAAGAGTTCTACCATTGTAACACCTTTATTACTTTTCCGTATAAGATCAATTCATTCCATTTTTTGACAATAAATATATAATAAATATAATTTTTAGTAAATTGTATATTTTTTCTTATATAACGAAATTCCTATCAGCTTCAAAACCAGCTACAGAATGAGAACTACTACTTCAATGTTAAAAAATCATTAACTGATTTACTTCATGAAATAAAACGAATTTAAAACATCAATACCACTTTACAAGGACTTGTTTATTTATTGATTCACACCGTCACCTTCTACAATCTTGAAACGAATATTTTGTATAATAATGCATTAAGGTTGAAAATACAAGGTCTCAAATATGACATTTAAGGTAACTGGCATATTATGACTTTTCTTCTTCTTTTCATCATTAGCCCGTAAAAGTTCAAAAGTAAGTCATGGGCTTCTACCATTGTATGGACAATTATACACAATAGAAGCCACGCTGCAGCTATATTATAGTTGTAGCACCAATGGATCAACTCGTAGGATTACGCTCGCACAGAATACCAGCGTGAAATAGCAGCTCAGTGCTGTGTTTTGTATGCTGAGGGTAGAGAACATTTTGTTAGAACAACAAGTTTATTAGAAGCGAGGCATTTCATCATAGTCCTCAGGATTGATAACGCATCTGCATTTTGATTCTTAATCGAGAGTTAATGTACATTTCTATGGGGCACAGCATCCACTTACCATCAGACGGACTGTGTGCTCGTTTGTCACCCTTATTCTATAAAAAAAATCCCTAATCGCACCTCTTGGCGGACGGCTTGGCGGTCGCAATATCAGACATCTCACAATATCTATTGGTAAACATGTGGTCAGGGATTTCCCTTAGTCGCGTTACGACACCCACGGTATGAATGAAGGCTATGGACTTCCTTGCGGCAACACCTGGATATTTCACAGAACACGGGGAATTTTTAACTAAGACTATTAGTAATGTATAAAGAAAATAATGTTGTAATGTCTGATACCAGCTATATAAATATTCAACCTACCTAGTATTTCGAAAGGAGGCCTCTATAAGTAATTAAAGAGAAAAATTATAAGTATATAAAAATATACAATTTTTCTTTGTATATTTTGTATAAATATGAGTGTTTGCCTCTAATAACATGAAATAAAAATATCAAACTTTCAGTGTCAATAAAGTCGTAGCTATAGAACATACGAGATAGAGCTACGCTGCACCTGTATCATTTGCTGCAGTTCGAATAGGTCGATATGAAAGAACACTCTCTCACGGTTTGCCAGCGTAATGAAATGAAATGAAATAATGATTTTTATTCTATATAGATTATAGCATATTGCTTATTGAAAGTCATTTTTTTATTTACCAAATAAAGTACCTCTGTCTTGGGAAGAACCAGCAAGAAACATTAGCATGCATGCAGCATGGTTGAGATCACATCATTCTCAGGGGTTATTTTCAATTATGTATTCTTTGATATAATAATATCCTTTTTTGTACAATTTTTCTTTATTAAAACACAAACTTCATTAATGAGAAATTTTTTACATTTTCTGGGATTTGTTGTAAAAAGCGTATACCCATGTATACGCTTTTTAATTCCGTGTATGCTAATTCCATAATTAGCATACACGGAATTAGTAATACATACTAATTCTATAGAAGCGTAACTGGAATTACAAGTTTGTCCCTAGTGTTTAAAGTATCTTATTCTTGTGAAAGTTATTTGTAAACATTAATAACTATGAACATACATTACATTTTCATAAATATATTGCGATGCCAAAGTTAATATCTTTATTACTTTAAATTTTTCTGTAAGGGAGTCTTTACAATTTAAGTTATAAATCGCCCGTACGGCTCTTTTTTTGCTAAAACAAGTATGGTTTCAATGCCAGGCACATTACCCCGTATCAAAATTCCGTAAGACATTACGCTATAAAAGTAAGTAAAATAAACTAATCTAGCCGTCTCAACATTGGTGAGACTTGTAATACTTCTTACAGCAGAACTAATTCTGCCTGCTAATTTAGCTGCAGAACTAATTCTGCCTGCTAATTTAGGTATATGAGGGCCCTATTGAAGCTTCCCGTCAATAGTAATACCAAGAGAAACAGTGGTATCCACAAGACTCAAATTCTCCCCATTTAAGAGCACATTGGTATTCGAATGTTTAACATTAGGTATTGTAAATTTAATACATTTTGCCTTATTGCCGTTTAAGACCAAATTATTGGCATTAAACCAATGTACTAATTTCGATAGAGCATTATTTACATTGTCAGAATTAATTGACTGCCGTTTGAGTTTGAAAATTAAAGAGGTATTATCAGCAAATAATACTATATCGTGATTCTCCCCTATAAAATAAGGTAAGTGATTAATATAGATTAAGAACAGGAACGGGCCAAGAATCATGCGATCCGGAGGAACCTTTTTGATAACGCCTTTTTGAGTGCTGTTATTTAAGTATCAAATAATAAGTCTAAGCACAATATTTTCGACACCGTAATGTTGTAGTTTCCTTATTAATATCCGTCTCATGATAAACACAATCAAACACATTGAAAAGATCACAAGAAATACCTAAGACATCTTGTGAATTCTCCTAGACATTGGAAATATATTTCATTAGCTCAACACCTGCGTCAAAATAACAGTATAATACCGCTGTGTTTCGTATGGTAAATGACGAGAACACGAAAGATCTAATTCTAGTCAAGTTTGTATAAAAAGGGTTATTATAATATTAACGAGTTTATGGATGATAATAACCCCTGGGAAGGGTTATCGCCACCAAGCTATTTCTAATTTGTCTTGTGTTGTTAATTATTGTAAACATGATTGTAAGCTATTTTTTGAAAAAAAAAAGTAGTCCCGCTGGGTTTCTTGCTTTTTCTTCCCAGGACAGAGGTTTTTTTTGCGAACCAGTGGTAAATGAAAAAAGTGACTTTCAATAAGTATTGTTTATAATCTAAATTGAATAAAAAAGTTTCTGTTTCTAGTATAACGAGGCATGCCACCACAGACCCCAAGTGTGTCGACGTATCTGCATTTTAAATCTTGATCGAGGATAATTTAAAAAAAGAAAAAAGTCTATCATAAAAAACCGAATTTAAAAAAGTTTGACTACGATTTAATACCAATTTAAACATATAAACCAACTCACCGTTATACGGAGAAAGTTTGACCACTTTGAGGAAGTTGCTCTGATCGGGCGCGCAGGTCATGCCGCAGACGTGCTGCACGAAGTTGTCGAAGCAGGCCGGGCAACGCGCGAGGATGTTCTCTGCGATGCGGATCTTGTCCGCGAGGTTCTCCAGCTGCTCACTGTTGCAGCACGTCTTCCCACCAGCCGCGATCGCAGGGCAGTATTTCTGGATTATCGGCTGTGGAATAATGTGAAGTTATTAATAAACTTACATCCTTTATACGTTCCACTACTGGGCAAAATTTCGATTTTTTTTTGAAAATGTAAAAACAAAAACCTTCATACAGGGTCCGGGTGTGACATAGGCCCGGGCGGTAATTTTAGGGTCAGTTGTTTTTTATTAAAACAATACTAGTTAGAATCTTTAAAATATCTGAAAATTATCTGTTACTATATTCTGAACTTAAAATTAAAACATAGTACACTGTAGGTAAAGAAATTGAATACAAATATTCTACTTCTACATACACATCCTATACAATCCAAGCGCTCTCGCTACAATATATCGCGTAAGAAATGCGCCCAAATTTTGGAATTATCTCAATTAAAAAAGAAAAGCAAACTTAAGAAATTAAATAAAACGTAAATAATGTAGGTTTTTAAATTATCTATCCATAAGTGTAATCCTCAAATGATAGATAGAGCGTTGCTTTTAGCAACAGATGCATGTAATCAATAATTTTAGTTGTTTTAAAAAGTTGATTTTAAATGTATTTATAACACACTAAAACAAATTAGAACGTGGAATGTGATGATAGGGTATCGAACATTAATAATGTGCTTTTAGATGTAGTTTATTTCTCATAACTAATGAGTTAAAAGTCTCTGAAAAACGCATTATCGCAAGGTTTTGGTCGGGGTATCTTCTTAAGTATAACTATTACAATGTATCAATGTGTATATAACGTAATAAACACAAGTCCGATTACGGATATAAACGGGCTAATGTAACAGAAGAAGAGTCTTTGTGTTATCACTTATCAGTTAAAAAGAAATGATTCAGTTGAATCACACTGGTCTCATGATACAGGATCAAAGACAAACCATTGTTTGGGCGCTGATGAATCTTAGAATGACTTCGCTCAGGGTCGAGTCGAGGTTATCGCAGTCCACTGCGCTGCGGGTAGTCATCGCATGAACGACGTCAATCAGGATAGAGGTTTATTAAATGAATAATGGATGACACATAGGTGATACTGTATGATTTGTGTGTAATATTTTAACTCCTAAATGTTATTGCTGTTTGTGATATTTGACACGAATAATAATAATTTATCTTTAATTCTGTATGAAAATATTTCACACAATTCAGTTCATATGGAATGCTCAGGGTGCAAGTTACACAAAAATAAGGTTTCTTTTCTGCGTTAGACCTCTTACATGGTTCTGTCGTCAAGCGGAAAATATTATAATTAATTAAATATAAATTATAAACAGAAAATATTTCATAACTACAAAATTTATCCACATGAATGCCTTCCGTTGTCTTTTAATATCAGGACGCGTGGTAGAACGCATTTCTATTGCCTTATTATTTAGATTTCTGTGCTTTGAACCCATTCAAGAAACAAAAACTAAGTCACGGTAATTTTATATAGATAATATTACCGTGACTAAGTGGATCACAGGATCCTTGTATGCGTATGAATACCTTTGTAATTTTCATGTGGATAAATTTTGGTTATGAAATATTTTCTGTTTATAATTTATATTTAATTAATTATAATATTTTCCTCTTGACGACAGAACTATGTAAGAGGTGTAACGCAGATAAGGAACCTTATTTTTGTGTAACTCGCACCCTGAGCATTCCGTATAAACTGAATTGTGTTTGTAGATAGTTTATCAATCCTGAGAATTATTGGTGAGGTAAACACCAAAAATCATTCTAACACAAAACATAAGTCAGACTGAAGGATAAACTCAACTTTGAAGTAGAACATTTTTACTTTACATCGGTCTACATCATGGTCGATTTCGTAACTATAAATGTAAGTTTAATTGCGAAATATACAAATCAACGATAGTCGGATTCACCTTTTACTTGTGATATGGGGACCTTGCCTTTTGCCAAATTTCATGATTCTAGGTCCACGAAAAGTAGTACCTAGCTGTAGTTTTGATGAGTGAGTTCGCGAGTATTTGAGAGACATTAATGGCCATATCTTCTGATTGCGTTGACTAAGAACCTTGAATTTTTTACACCTCCAAGAACCCGTAGACCGCAGTATTTCGTATTAATTTCAACTTGGTAACCCTACCTGTTCCTAAGAAAACAAGGCGTGATAGACGGACAGTCAGACAACTAAGTTCTTTCTAGGTTATATAAATACTTGTTCCGTGAGGGATTCGAACTTCGGTAATCATAGATATAATGTATTTTATATTTCTATGTAGGTAATGCACGCTGCGGTAAAAGCAGCGGAATGCTTAGTCAGTTTGCTCCAGACCGTAAAACTTAGTTGTTAATTTTATTAATTTATTTCTAAAAATGTTTAGTGTAAAACATAATATTGTAGTGTATAATGATGGAATAATAAGAATACATAAGTTTGTCTTTTGATTCATATCAACCTGAGTCACGTATCTGATAGTTAATGTGTCGACTGCTCGTAAACAAATCGTAAGCGTTATCGCAACTACGGCCAGCTGTGCGACTCGGATTAAACTGATAACAAGCCTGAGTCTACTGCCAATGTCCAGACGTCGGGGCTACCATGATACCCAGATCCTTGGTATCATGGCATCCTAGCCAGACTATATAATGCTATTTATTACATTAATTTGACTGTTAGATACCAAAAGGGATAATGAGTTATGGTTGAGATAGCGAGGTTGGTTCGTAGAGAATGACCAGAAGAAACGCCAGGAAAATTTGTTAGCTTGCGATAAATTACAAACACAATCAACTTATAAAAAAACTTAAGACCTAAAATTGTTCAGAGATGATTTGATGAATAATGATTATATCTAAGCGCTATTTAAGAGCAAACACAATTTCTGACCTTGTACTTAACACCGCAATCAACAGAAGATATCCGCTTATTATGTACCTATATCCAAATAGTACATGGTTGTTATTATAGCAGAAATAAAAGAATTAAATGCAGTAACTGTCGCCTATACCACAGGCTAGCTTACCTGGTCTATAATACATAGCTTAGGTACAGGTGGTTTTCCGTATTTAATGTATATTATTTATTTATCATTTAAATTACCGCGTAACGGGATCAGGTCAAGCAAATTTTATACAAATACATAGGTGTTAAGTTTAGCATGGGGAACACGAAATTATTCAAATTTTCTATATTCTAATTTAAAGTCTCAAATAGACTTAAGTTTTCTGGCTTTTACTTGATCATTAATATTATAGCATTTCTATTTGTATGGGAAACTTTTTGTAAACAAGAATTCGTATTTATTTAAAACTTGTATATCGTCATTGTAAACGTGTTCCCTTTTATCGCGCTTCGTTTATTATACCGGTTTATAACGTGTAAAATTTTATAACAGAATACGTAATAAACGTAGGTATCCTTTAAAAATACTAATTGCCTACTATTTAAATAAATGATGGTTAATCGTGGCGGCAAGAGCCATGGTAGCTCAGAGTCTAATCGTTCGCCGTGAATTACACAGTACGCTAGCAACCAGGGGTCGATCCCTGCCTGCACCAATGAAAGTGTTATTTTTAAGTGATGTCTCCTTTACCACCGAGCACGTGAAAATATCGTGAGGAAATCTGCATTGCTGACAAATTTAAAAACTCGCAGACGTGCTAAGTCCGGCAACACGAATAGGGACTGCGCGGACTAAAACCATCAAGTTCAGCTCTTTTCCTGCCTAATATTCTATGTGCGTTTGTATTATCCTCTCACCTATTTGTTTCTATTCCAAAGGGGTAGTACACCCAGCTATATTCCGGTCTCACAAGTAAGCGAGCCAAAATAACAACAAGTTGTAAAGCATAGCATATTAGACTTCAAAGTAAAAAACGCATCTCTAGTCTTTAAATGACGTTAGTTCGTTGCGCATCAGATAGACTGTTAAGAAATTTCCAACGTAAAAGTTTAATGGATTTCGTTAACACAGATAAGTGATAATAAAGTATTCAAAGTTGTAACGAAACACAGCGCCATTAAGCTGCTATTTAACGTTGGTATTCTGAAAAACTAACTAAATAACTAACTAAACTGCATGAACAATACTAATTTATTGAGTAGGACTTTCTGAGTGAACAGTCTCTTCGAGTCGTAAAGGGCTGCTCATCTGACCCTATGACGACTAACGCCGGAGTTCCTCAGAGGTCAGTTCTCTGTGCAACTATGTTTCTGCTGCATAATAATGATTTTCTTATGCCCGGTACCTATTGGTCTGTAGATGACAGCACAGCTGTGAAAATATATCAGCCGAATAGAATAAATCAAATCCAGATAGAGATCTGAGGTGATGACAATCTTATGAGATTCAACGCTTAAAATGCAAGCATGAGACACGTAAAACGACCTTGGTTCCTAGTATCCGTGATGCATTATTGGCGAATCATAACATCGACCGCCTTCAGCGGTTTTCTTCGTCTTTCGTAATGCTTACAGCAAGGGAGTGGAATAATTTGACGATGTCTAGCTTTTCGTCCGATTACAATCCCAGTGTATTCAAGGCAAGAGTGAATAGGATTTTGTTTCGCTACCACTAAGTGGTTATTAAAAACCAGGTTTTGTTAGAAATTATACCTTTCTTGTTTCTTACAATACCATTTTAAAATCAGATATGATTCTAAATGTAAAACAAGCGAAAAGAAATATCAGGAGAGACTTCGTAACCACCTATATAGAAAAAGTTTATCTTGTTGTAAAAGAATATGAATTCCCTAGAAAGCGGCGCGATGGCGGGTAACATCAAGGGTGTTAATCTTTCCTAAATTGGGAGACTCATTGTCATGTGTAGGTAGGTAGGGTAGGTAGGTAGGTAAGAGAATAAAATTAAATAAAATATAATAAACACTGTAATTAAATACCATTTCTACTGAGAACTTTATTCGAGACTTCATTCAATGTAACCCAAGGATTATCCATGTAAGGGAATCAGGATTGTAATAAGATCATAACATGTAACTTAAAGATGGTCATTCGAAACCGTCACTTAAAACCAACCTACATACCAAAGGGATCATTAAACTTTCTTTGGTAGAATTAAGTATGTTAGAACTGTAATATTTAACAAAGCCAATATATCAACCATTGTTCAGATTACCTTTTTGTTACACTTGTCAAATTAAACAATAATGATAGTGTTCATAAAATTGAAAACTCAACATGAACGAGTTTTCAATTTTATGAAAACTAATTTGATGTATCTGAGGCTACTCAGAGTATAATAATCGAAATCATCTGATATTCCTCCTCTATGAAAGATAGTGAAATAAATAATGAAAGCTATAACCTATATATATTCTGCTGAAAATAGGTGTTTCAAAATATATAGTTCATAAATTTTGTATTACATTCATAACAATAACATGAATATATCAACCATCGTCGCAACGGGACTCATTTACCCAACAGTCCCCCCATCGCACCACGCATATCATTGGACTATTTCATTACAGCTAAAAAAAGAATATTAACACTAAGTATGATAGTAAAGTTAAAATATATACATGAAGGCCCTTTGTTATTTATAATAGAGCTATGCAAGGACATTGCCATCACGGTGTAGTAGCGTCCGAAGGGGCCGACATCAATGTTCCAACGCCCCCTTCGCCAGTCACGTTTCTCGCGTGTCATTAGTCACTTACACTACTGAAATGAATACTTCTATGCTATTATTATAGGCTAGACTTTAATTATTTCTAAAGAACTCGACATATTTTTACTTTAAGTCTGGAATTATCATAGGATCCGTTACCGTCACAGCCTTTTAAGTCTACTGCTGATGCTGAATAAGGGCCTCCCCCACAGGTTGCCTCATAGGAGGGATATTTACCATATATGCAACGCTTGGCAGCCACTGCACTACACAGTCGGCGGTAAACTGTGTATCATTAATAGTATGGAATTGGCATGAAATGAAAGCATTTTTTTAAACAAGTCATTATCTGACAATGATTGAAATCTTAAAGAGCAGCAAAC